CGATAAAGGTCGGTACGCTGGATTTGGACTGGCGCATCTAAGAGAATATGTTAGAGCCAAAAAGACATGATTTCGAAACAGACGACTAACCTTGTTCGTCATGGTAATCCCATCAATGACCATAAGACCATGACCGGGATGAAGCAGAGAGCAGATGACGCGGAAATACTCATCCAGGTATTCTGCCCCAACGTGCTCGAACATCCCGATCGAAATTACACGATCGTAGTACCCTCCATTACTTTGAGGCCCAGTTGCGGATCGATAATCTTGAAGAAGGATTCGGACACGTTCCTCCAGTCCGGCTTCTTTGACCCTTTTCTCAGCAACTCTCTTCTGGTTTTCAGATAGAGTCAAGGCTGTTACTCGACATCCTGTAGTCTGAGCTGCAGTGATAGCGACATCTCCCCATCCGCAACCAATTTCGAGAATGTGTTGCTCGGCTGATATCTGGGCTTTCTGTAGTAGGCGCTGGACCTTTCGCTTTTGCGCTGCTTCTAAGCCCTCGGCGGGATCCCCGCTCCAGTGGGCACAGGAGTAGTTCATGTCTGGAGAAAGAAAGTTTGCAAATAGGTCGTCAGAATCATCGTAATGGGAGGAAATGTAACGGCGGGCATTATGAGGGTCATTTGAGGGTTGCAGGAGCATTGTTATTCGGGGAAGAATTTGCATGAAGGAGTTGCCAGTGCCAAGTTGAGATTTGTTTTTAATATAGATCTGCTTTACGTTAGTATCCGAATGGTGAAAAATTGGCATTATGGGAAACATAGCATACATCAAGCAACCCACTGAGATTATCGCAATCTACCTCCTGAAACATATATGCTTCCGCGAACCCCTAGGCGACACTCAGCAAAATGCGGCTACATCTTCTTTTAGATCACCCACGAGGTCAAAACATGCGCAGATTCTTTTCCACGCATTGGAATCATACACTACGACAGTGACAACTGTACCCTGGCCATCTCCGAAATCATTGATTTGGCGTGGCTCCTTGTACTCGGAGATGAGCTTGAGGCGTCCACTGGAAATGTTCCCAAGTGCGAAGAGAACTAATTGCTGAGCACAGTTGCCCACAAAATCAGATATTCCGAACATGGCTACTCACCTTCATAGCCAGCGTAGAAATGTTGACCTTGATCACCGTTAGACGAGGACCGCTACGTACTTATATTCTTTTGCTTTCTCGGCGCTAAATTCTCACCGCATGACAGCGAGTGGAGTTTCTGATATCGTATGCATGCGTGACGCAAGGCTACCCTAAGCTCTCCTTGTGTCTTAAGTGGCAGTGCCTTGTCCAGGAGCACCATTGAGCTCTGGAAGTTAGAGGAAACGAATGCCCCGAGAGTATAACCCAAGGCCCTTTCTTCAGCCAGTCAATTACACAATCCTTCCCACCCCACAAGAGCGTTGGATCTCGTATTTTAGTGAACAATCCAGATACTGAAACCACCTGCCATGGGTTTAATCGTGGGAGATACTTTGCAAGATCGCTTAAAACTTTTCCGAATATGCTATGCTTCCAATATGCTCATTACCCCCGGTATACAGAAGTTCGAGGACAGTCATCTACAAGAGGAATATCACACCATACTGTGAAAGACCCATTATCTCCACAACTCTGCAGAGATAGATCCCCTAGCGATCCCATAGGGTGTCAGAAAGGATAAATCATCTGCAGAAGAGGCTGACACCTCAGGTCCAGTCTGCAGTGATGACCTGTAATTACCTCTTCCGGTATAGCGGACCAGCTCCGCATGAGATCTGCACTAGTCCCAAACAGGCAGGCTTCGATAAGAATCCGCGGAATTAATAATCCCAGCACTGCTGACTCAGACCCTGTATAACTCGTAGATAACTATAAATACTCATCATTTCCATATAAAGCAAATGCGCCGATAAGCCCCAAGCGCACCAACAACTGCCTTCCCTCTACACACGCCAGAACCAGGACAAGGGACCAGTATCCCTACCGACTGAAAGAGAAGACATAAACAACATTCACACCACCCAAAATGGCAGACACAGACGACCTCACCCTAACAATCCACCACCAAAGCAAACCCCACACCCTCACCCTCCCCTCAACCTCCACGCTCCAAGACCTTTCCAACACAATCGCCACAACCCTGCACATCCCCCCCGAAACGCAAAAGCTCCTTATATCCCCGAAACCCGGCATGCAAAAGGCCCCATTCCCCCCAACCCCGCTAAGGACACTCCTCCCACTCAGCTCCCCGAAATTCAAAATCACCCTCCTCGGCACCCCAACAAAAGCCATCGAGACCCTGCACGCACAGTCTGAGGAAACCGCACGCCGCGCCTCAGCCCGCGCTTCGGCCTTCGCAGCAGCCGCGAAGCATAAACCAGCCCGGACGGCCGGTAGTGGCGGCGGCGGCGGCGGCGTGCATACGCTCTCTGATTCAAGTAGTTCATATACCTTCCACCGGCTGTTGCCGTTGTCGTATTTGCCTCGTCCGGAACGATCGCTGGAGTTTTTGAAGCGGTTGCGGGATGATCCCGGGATCAAGGCTGCGATGGCGAAGCATAAGTTCTCTGTGCCGGTGTTGACGGAGATGAATCCTGCGGAGCATACGACGATGGAATCGCGGACGCTGGGGCTAAATCGGAATAAGGGGGAGGTGATTGAGTTGCGGCTGCGTACGGATGCGTATGATGGGTATCGCGATTATCGGACTATCCGGAAGACGTTGTGTCATGAGCTGGCGCATTGTGTGCATAGTGACCATGATCGGGCATTTTGGGACCTGACGGCGCAGATTGAGAAGGAGGTGGAGAGGGCCGATTGGAAACATGGAGGAAATAGATTGACTGGGCAGGACTTTTATGTGCCGGAGGATTGGGAGGCGGAGAAGGATATGGAGGTTGTTGATGAGTGTGGGTGGACTGGGGGCGAGTTTGTGCTGGGTGGGTTGAGGGAGGATGAGGTAGGGATAAGGACTGGGGCGCAGGGTGTTGAGGGGAGGAGAGAGATGTTGGCGAGGGCTGCAGAGGAGAGGATGAGGAAGAAGAGAGACGATGAGGAGGGTAGAGAGGGCGGTAATTGATGCGGTTTGGGTTGGAGATGTGTATATTTATTCTTAATACCTTGTATACGAACTAATGATAATGAAGACATGACTGCATTAGAGCTACTTGTTTTATATACCTTGCACCAGATATAGCATGGTTAGGTCAGACGTATGTGACTCGTTTTACACCTGTTCGTTGACAAACAATCCCGCCATGCCCTGTCCGGTACCAATGCACATACTCGTGACCAGCACCTTCTTCTTAGTCCGTCTTGCCTCGCTAAGAATTGTGCAGATCTGGCGAGCACCCGTGGCGCCCAGGGGATGGCCGAGTGCAATGGCACCACCGCGGGGGTTAACCTTGGCATGATCCAGGCCAAGGTTCTGCAAACAGTAGACAGCCATCGAAGCAAAGGCCTCGTTGATCTCGTAGATATCGATGTCATCCTTGTTCAAGTTGAACTTGGAGAGGAGCTTGGGGATAGCAGCGGTAGGGCCGATACCCATGATGCGAGGGGGAACGCCAGCAACGGTGGCACCACAGAACTTAGCCAGGATAGGCTGGTTAAGCTCGATGGCCCTGGAGCGACGCATGAGCAGGATAGCGGCAGCTTCATCATATTAGCATTCAATCATAGCATCGAGCGTGAATGAACTCACCGCCGTCGGTCACCTGGCTGGAGTTGCCACCAGTGCTCCGGTTGCCGAACTTGGGGAAAGCCGGTCGGATCTTGCCGAGGGACTCGGCCGTTGTTCCATACCGGATACCCTCATCTTTGGTCAAAGTAACCTGCTTGACCTCGCCGGTCTTGGGGTCCTTCACCTTGGTGGTGATAGGGACGATCTCATCATCGAACCATCCAGCCTTCTGGGCCTCTTCCGCACGGCGGTACGACTCAGCGGCATACTTGTCCTGAACCTCACGGCTGATGTTGAAGTCTGATCCGACGTTTTCGGAAGTCTGGCCCATGGGCTGCAGGCAGTCGGCCGACTCCTGGTTCTTAAGGACTTCCTCGCTGAAAGGCTGGACTGGCTCACCACCGGCAGACATCAACTCAGCACCAAGGGCGATACCGACATCGATCTGACCCAATGTGATCTGGTTGGCAATGTCTTGAACAGCCTTGAGGCCGGAGGAGCAGAATCGGTTGACGGACGATGCGCCGGATGTGTTTGGGATGCCAGCCGCAAGGGAGGCGGCACGGAGGAGATAGGGGGCCTTGCCGTCGTTGACCTGAGTGCTGTCAGTATGAATCCGCTCTTAGCTGAGGCTAAAAAACGTACATTACCCAAGCAGACATCCTCAACCAAAGCAGGGTCGATCTTGGACTTGTCTATAACCTCCTTCAACAAAGAGTGGACTATGTAATCCAACTGTGTGTCCTTGAATCCACCCTTGACGGCCTTAGCCAGAGGAGTACGCAGAGCAAGTGTAATGACTACATCGTCAGGATTTTTCTGGGTGCTGCGTAAGTCAGTATATTTCTCCCATGTGATGCGGACGGCAACTTACATGGCGGAAAGGCCAGTGTTTCCTCCTTTGAGGTGGCTGAGAATAGAATTCAAACGATCTGTGGCCATGGTGTATTTCTATGTGTCTATCCAGACCGGGTTAGAAATTCCACAGTTTGGCATTCGATGCAGAAGCAGCGATAGAAGCAACACGGGGACAGCTAAATCATTATGTAGCAGCGGGAGCAGCGGTATGGACCTATGCGGGGAAGGACAGTGGTCTAGACCGCTACACTTGTGAGGGTATTGGGATAACACAGCATCACTTACCAAGTTATGATTAACTCCGGTGAGAGAAAGTAGAGGGATTGTGGAGGGACAAAAGAGTTGTAATATAGAAGAAAGGAGGAGAGCGAGGGTGACCTTTACCAGCAGCAACCGAGAAAGAGCCGAGGCTCATTTTGCTTTCCCCATACTAACCAGACTACGATCGATCCGGCTATTAAATCATTAATAATCGCCAAGCACCTTAGATTGGTTTTGAACTGCAACTAAACTAGAGCGTTGTTCAGAAGCTTGGACTAAATTTAAATTTAAATTCTACAAAACCATGTGAAACCGCAGCATAATCAGTAAAAATCGAAAGAACTCCGAGACACCTGTCCCGTCCATACCGCGCCATCCTCCGAGCAATCCCATCCAAGAAGTGAATTATTCTATACAAATTTCCCACATGCCTACAAGCGATTTTGCAGGTCCTCATTGCTGACTACGCTACCGATCTCTGACCAGCTGGCTGGGGTGGCGACTCCTTGTGTCGACCGTCCATGGTCACTCAATGTGCCATCTGACCATTCATCCGCAGCAGACTCATAAATTTGACTGAAACTACCAGCCGTCGACGGTGTAGACGGTCGTTCGTGGTGTTCGGCGCCAGTAGAATCTAAGTCCGACAGATCGGAAAAGGGCGATCTCAAATCACGGCCGGTTTCATTCGTCGAAGGACCCGGATGAGCAAAAAGTACTTCAGAATAACCCTCTGTATGACTCGACGATCGTGAAAGCGGCCGCTCGACCTCCTCGGTACGATTCAGCGTAGACGTTGAGAAGTCCATACCTGAGGTCTTGGAAGTGGGTGTGTAGTCAATAAGCGCTGCAGACGCTGCACCTGCGGCTGCGGCTGCTGGTATTGCCACTTGCAGGTTCTGCCTCGTAAGAGCAGCGCCAGTGGTCTGCGTCTCGGCCATAGGGGTCTGAGGACCATTATTTTTACCGCGCTGAATAGCCTGTGATGGTGCCACTTCCACAGCGGTAGAGTTACCCAGTCCTCCAGAAGGATTTGGACTCTCGGTTCGAAGCAAACGGCCATCGTCATCAACAAGCGCATCGAAAGATCCCGCGGGGGCACTTTCTCTTCTTTTCCGGTGTTCTTCAAGCACGGAACGCCGTCGTTGGAGTTCTTCCCTTGCTATCCGCCTACGCTCTTCAGCTTCCGGGCCCAGCTCCTCAGTCATAGATATGTCTTGCCTCATAGGTGAGGCAGAGGTTGGAGGGTGAATCTCATCGCCGAGATTGTGCAATGCGACGGCAATCTTTCGCCGCGAGGTGTTGACCCATTGTCGAAACTGTGGTGATTCATAAACCGCAATACCCGCAGCAACGAGTGCTGAAACAGTGATGATAATTCCTACCGATGTGAGAGAGCGTTAGCTACCTAGCTCCTACCAAGGAGGCCCATATCAACCATCTACTGATAAGCACACCGCCCGGCTGAGCCGGCCAACGAGCTTGTAGGATATAGATAAAGAGAAAAGGAGATGTAAACTTACCTTTCGCAACCGGTGTTGGCATCTTGACCTCCTGTGGTCAAATTGTGTCGTTTCCCTCCTCTAACCGACCATGTCAGGCAGCCAAGTAAATGGAAGGCGATGTGAGCGTCATCAGATGCGCGGCACCCCGCGGGCCGCCACGTGACGTCAACACAGCCCTTATCCGGAAGCCCTACCGTCCGTTTTGGGCATTCCGTTGTTTTTCCCCTCCGCGTCGGACATCAACATTGTTCTTGGTCTCGATTGAGGGTCTGTTTACCACCGCCATTCCCGTTGCTATACATATAAACACTTATCTACAGTGAATATGTCTCGGCCATCATCCATGTCCCAGCGTCCCTTGACGCTCACCGAGGAATTGGAAAAGCTTGAACAATCTATCACCCTGACCCTGCAAGGTAAACAACGATAAGACACCCGGTCAATGAAGATCATTAACCAATACTTTTCCAGAAATCGACCACAATTTCAGCCAGGCCCATCGGATCGTTACAACTAGTATCCTGCCGCTCGTCGAGAAATATGCAGAACATTCCCACGATGTCTGGGAAGGCGCCAAATTCTGGAAGCAATTCTTTGAGGCGAGCGCAAATGTCTCCTTATCGGGCTACGAGGAACGACCCAACGAAGACACATTGCAAGAACAAAGTGTAACAGAAGACGACACAACAGCCGATGCCACACCGAGCAAGCTAACGGACACTGGCACATACGACACACCCTCATCCGAACATCTAGATATCAACCACCGTCCAGACGACCTGGAACTGACGTCACTGAGCCTGTCCTCGCACAGTACGCCCCGACCGCCCGTGTTTGATCGACCAGATGATAACGACACGACCGTGACATCGTCTATCGCCCGGCCATCGCCGTATGAGGCTCTGAAGAAGGAAATGGACGAGGGCGACGCGCCCTTTGAAGGCGACGAGGACGATCTCCCCACTACCCCCGGAAGACCTTTCCGTCCTCAGGGATATTCATTTAACCCTCGCGACGAGCTAATGTCCTCGTCGCCATTTGTTCCTCCGGTGTCCCATGGAAAGTTTTCTACGGCGAGCAAGAGCCCTGCCGATCCGGTCTTGCATCGCCTCCAGGACAAGACGTATCGAGTCCAAGCCACCCCGCTCGGAAAGGATTATGGAGCAAGCCGCTCTAAGTTCACTATTACACCGAAACCCTCCGCGTCCAAATATGGCTATGATGACTCTCCGATCTCCAGTCCTGAACCCGAAGCACCCCAGCTTCATGCGGAAATTTTCTCTTCGCCTCTCAAAACCCCCGGTACCAACCGGAAGCGACGTACAAGTAGCCATTTGCGTGTTACACCAAAGCCTGGGATTAGTGTGTTGACACCGGTAAAGAGCGGTGGCACAAACCGACCGGTGTGGGACAGCGACGACGACTTCGACAATGACGAGGATGAGGATCTAGGGCCGAGTCCGCCGAAAACAATGCAGTTCCATATTCCCCAGAGCAGGTTAATGAAGACTCCAGGTAAGTCCGCTTAGTCCGGTGTAATCTCACAGGCTGACTGATGTGTCACAGCGAAAGAAGCATCCAGACGGATCGTCGAGGATTTGCTATTTACCGCCGGGGCAAATGACACAACAGACGATATTGCGGCCGAGCAGAGCCCCAGCATCATCCAAAGGGTCCAGCGCATAGAGGATGAAACGTTTTGAATTGGTGAGGCTGGGCGGTCCATAGTTTTAGCAGTTATGTAAAACACAAGCATGATCAAACATCTAAGCGGTATCCGTTAGAGAATGCCGGGACAACAAAACATCCCATTGCTAAGCGGTAGACTAATACATCACACACAAAAGGTGGAAGCCGCATTACACAAAAGTTTGACGTCGACACAGACACTGCAAAGGCCGGGCAACCCAGGCATCCACACATAAAACATCTCCGACAGCAACTAAGGACTAACTTCGAACCTGCGGAATGAACGGGGTAAAAAGAAAACAGAATTACATAGGCATACTGCAAACACATGAAGGGTATTGAGCATGAGGCGCTGGTCATGAGGGGTTCGGGAAGGGATGACATGTCAGGAGTGGTGACAGGAATCGGCATATATGTACATAGGTCGAGCTGATGAGTCTCGGGGTATTCTAATGGCTGAAGAGAAACCGAGGAACATTGTCCAAAAAGAAAGAAAGGAAAACAAAAAAGAAAAGCCTCGAAGCCTGATGCCAGACCAAGCTTTGAACGGACTTGCAAGGAGAGGGATATTCTATCATTGCAGACCCATGAACACCTCCTGACAATTTTCCACCAAAAACTTCAACACATCATTCTTCTTTTGCACATCCGTCATCTCACGGGCCAAACTCTGCGGTCTCATGATGGTCGGAGCAAACACAACTGCAATATTCTGGCTGGTCATCAAATTCTCCTTCTCACGCTCAACCACACGCTTCAAGTGGAACATAAGGAATTCGAGCACATCGCGGTGGACTCTGGGCAGTTCCAGAAGGCACTTCTGCAGGGTTTCGATCCGCTCAGGTTGCGAAGTGATCTCGCCGGTTTCAATGATTTTTTCGTACACATCAAATGTAATCAATGGATTGGGTAGCTTTCGGAAGTATTGCTTTAAGGCCGATGTCACCGCATGAATATCAAGGTCGGGATCCGAGATATCATAATCCTGCGGCTGTCGCTCAAACCCATCCCGGATAGTCTGAATCGCCGAGCTGGCACCTGACTTGCGGTAAATCCCTTCCATGTCCATGCCTAGAGCGAACGTTAGTTGGCACCATGACAAAGCCAGGAATAAAGGCATACCTCGTAGTTCAACCTCTTGAATGCAACGAGTGATGATGGCGGGAATGATACTCTTTTCATGTTCCATCCGCTGCTCCAAGTCGGTGCCAAAGAGGCCTGAAATCCCTTAGTTAACGCGAATCAGATAGGATAATCGATGAGACATACCTGTTGGGGCCACTTCGGCCAAAGCTGGAACACTGTCAGTCGTTGGCATCCTTGTACCAGCCTGCTTATTCCGCTGGTTTCCAAAGAATCCAAATCCTTGGCGGCTAGGGTCCTGCGTCTGGGACCGTGGCAGACCAGGGACAGCTTCTGTGGCGCTCTCACTCGTACCAAATGCACGATTGAGACCCTTGGTGACACCCTTGGCGACGTTTTGGCCCCCCTTCTTCCAGTTGAACTTGCGAGGCTGTCCCTTCCGAATGCTGACAACTTGGGGCCCGGGAACAATGGTGGCTGGCTCTGCCTCTTCGGACATGTTGGCTGTCGACACCGATGGGGCCAAGTCATTACTGCCGGCCTTCAGCGCGTCGATGGAAGACAATGACTTCTCTTTTCCATGTGAATAAATCCCGAGACCATTCGCACCTCGGTTGCCCTCTGACGAATTAGCTTTATAGAGCTCCTGGATTTGGTGCACCAGCTGGTTGTTCAATTCAGCCAACTGGGCATTCTTCGAGGACAACTGCTCAAATTCCTGGAAGCTCTTGTCCTTCATACGGTTGAAGTTTGCGAGTTCTTCGGCAGTCTCGTTGCGTTTCTGAACCAGTTCCTCGATCTGAGGTGTGAAGGAGTCCTTCAATTTCTGGATTGACTCGACAAACTCCCGCAATACCTGATTCGTGAGCTTACCAAGGTCCAGAGTGCCGCCTCCACCACGCTTCTCAGCTTCGAGGTGATCGGTCAGTACCGAAAGCTCTCGCATGACAATCTCCTTCCGAGCGTCCAGCACAACCATGGTAGAACGTTTCTCATTAAGCTCCGTGTTAACTTGCTTCACGTCCGCAGTAGCGTTCAGCATAGCTTCCATTTCAACAATCTTATGGTCACGCTCAAGGACCCGCTGGCGCTCTTTGCGCAGCTCACTCCGCAACCAAGCCACTTCTTCAGGCCCGCCGCTCTCTGGGGCGGGACTTCCAAGGTCTTGAAATGGAGCACTCCCATTGACCGGCGACTTGGGCCATTTGGCATCCTTGGACAAGCGAGAACCTTTATCACTGAAGCTGCGGCCATGGCGTACCGAATGTGAGACACGACGCAAGAACGATTCGCTATTCTGTGCCGACAGAGGGTCGTCAGATGACATAAGCCGGGCCATATCCTCATCCATAGAAAAGTCGCCCCCGCCACTGTACCGTAAGACCGATGGAGACACCGCGCGGTCTACCTGGCGCTGTAGGTCGGGCTGATGGAAGGTGTTGATTGAGTTCGGGCGCGGTGGCTTCGACTGCTCCAAATTGGTGTCATTGCGTGAAGCCCGAGGGGATTCACCTAGTTTAGGTGAGCCCTTAGCTCTGTCAAACCACGGTTCACCAGGGGCAATTGATTGTGGGCGAGGGGACACGCCGGGCTCCTTCCTGGTAATGTGCAGTTTGCTTTCCAACGAATCCCCGCGCTTGGGAGGATGTTGCATGCTACCAGAGGACAGGAACGATCGCGCAGAGTCCAAGGACCCGCTATTCTCGTGCAAGCGACGAAGCTCATGCGATGGCCGTATGGGTGGGGCTACAGAGCTATCTGCCGTTAATATGTCCCGGTGAGGAGTAGCTGACGACCTCATACTCTCAGGGCTCGAGTTGGAGAACGTGCTGGTCTCCTTGTGGCCAGAGGGCAAATCGGACCGGGAACTCTGAATAGAGCCTGATCTTGCAAGTCTCGGAAGTTCTGGCGGCACTCTGGAGTCATCACTGGTTGTTGGGCGAGAGTAGGTGCTTGTATCATCTTGCCGCCAGCGGGCGGTGTCAACGTCAACACGCTCGCGGCCCTTCTCTTGATACGCGATGTGCGGTGATGAGCTACCCGATGGCACCGATTCTGTTCCCTCTCTAGGGGATCGATGCAGGGAACCGGGAGATTTAGAATGCTGAGGCGACCGCTGTTCTTCAGAAGGATCAAATGCAAGGGGAATAAGGAATTCTCCGGCATCATTTTCGGGTTCGCGTGGTACCACCGAGTGGCGATTACTACGATAAGTGCTGGAAGGAAGGATTAAGTTGTCTAAGGCAGATCCCAGTTAATAAGTATCTCTCAGCTTTGTTAAGGGAATGTTACCTTGATCGGCAGCCGTACGAGTACCAGAGCCCGGCATCCCTCCCGCGTCCAGCGCAGGCACTGCGCCTCGCGATGGCCCCTCTGTGACTAGTTCTGCATAAGCATCCGGTACCAAGTCGTCTGTGTGTCGTGCGTGATCGGCTTCCTCTGGGGGTAGCGAAGGCAGCGATTTGTCGAGTTTCACACCGGGCGCTGGCTTCTTCGTAGGCGCAGCTGCACGGTTTCTCTTTCTGCGCCGTTGCATTAAAGATTCATGACAGTCCATGCAGAAGATACCCTGTGACGTCCGTGCATAGCGCAAATTTTCGATCTTCCGTTTACAATTTCGGCATCGGAAGCACTGCGCGCAAAATGCTTGTTCTCCGGTCAAGATGGCCAAGTCTTCAATTTTGTTCCCGCAAGAACTGCAGCTGTACGTGCAATTGCTACATATCAGTGAGCCGTCACCGAGTAGGAGGAGGTGGGCGTCTGAGTCGAGGAGCGTGCCACAGGTACTGCAGCAAAAACATTCAATATGCCATCGATTGCCCGCTGTTAACTATCAGCTTCTAATCCGATATGGCTACCTCAAGTGCGAACTTACCCAGCTCGAAGGCCTTTCCCTCTTCCAAAATCTAGTGGAAGGCACCGAAATTAGTATACGTCACATATCTCAATACCGACTGGCCTCGCATACCTCTCCACAGCCCTTACAGGGAAATGGCGTGTCGTCCTGTTCCATAGGAGACTCTGGGTACACCGCAGGAGACTCCATCCTCTTCCGCTATGTGACGCCCGATGAAGGGGTAAGGAAGTATAATATGGACTGCGAAAGGTTCACCAAGGTACGAAAATTGTTAATGACGACGACGACGCTCGGGGCGCGCCCGCGGTGTTGCTACCAAACGCTTTCACGACACAGGGGTTAGGTAGTAAGACCAAGTCTTGCATCCGACAGCAAAGAGAATCACAATATTAAGCGAAAGCAAGGTTGTCACGTAGCGACGTACGGTAGGAAAATGCTGGAACTCTAGGGAGGGGAGGGCGGTAGGTAGCAGTAGCCGGTGGGAGGAAATAAAACACGACGGGGTGCAATTTCCGCTAGAGAAAGTAATTAAAAGCTCTCGAGCCTATAGTAAGCAAAGGAGACGACGTCAGTATCAGGACAAGATCGACAAGGTCCATCGCAGACGAAACTGGGGGGTGGGTGGTCAAAGGTGGTGTTGAGGAAGAAGTACCCCAGATCGCAGGACCAGGGGTAGGGGAGAAGAGGGGAGGGGGGGGAATGGACAGGGCTGGACTACCCATGCAGAAGGACACTGTAGATCTCAACGACGGAATTTCGAGCTATCCCAATGGGATAAGAAAGAAGATATACACCAAAGCAGACCAAAGCTCAGACAGGGAAACAACAGGGGGGAGGGAACGGAGAGAAATAAACTGTGGTGATTGCGAAACCAAGAAAAGTGAGAGAGAGGAAAATGAAACACACCTAACGGTGAGCGACTGTTTCAGATAAACTTCGGCGACAGAACGCGGAAAAACGAACCCCTCGGGAGCCAACTCAGCTGTTGGCGCAACACTCAGGAACAGGGGGAAGGCCGCTTGCAATGTGCCAATTAGGTCATTAGATATTAATGGTGAAGAGTAAAACAGAGGAAGAAAGGAAATGAAAGGGAAAACAGGCGATCCCAATGGGGAAAAAGCGTGGAAATGAACAGGGAAGAGGAAACGGGAAGTGAGAGAGGAAAGACGGTCTGGATTCTCGCGTTCGAGCCCCAAGAAAAAAGTCACGCCCCTTCCCCATACCCTACAAAGCTCTCTCTCTCTCTCGCTTTCGCTTTCACCTACTTCTATGGATGAACCATGACAAAGAAACTAATAGATCAAATGCAATTCTCTCAGACAATCATAATGCTGATTTCTATAGCTATATATACCCTATTCTATTGATCCTTAACGCCGAGACCCACAATGGTATTATTAAAATACTAGACAAATGGCCGTTCCAAGGATCCAACCCAGAATGCAGTGTATGTACGAATGCGAAGAAAGATATGGAATTTTGCCCACCTTCGATGCTGCAAATACCTTCATTCCCTCAACTGCAATTGTATTCCAAAAATAGTAATTTGGTGTATTTTTTTTTTTTCAACACTCAAATTTGGGGGCAACCTCAAGTCTCCAACGACTGGTGGATCACACTCGTTCGGTATGTCTCACTCCGCTGGATCAACTCCTGATGCGTTCCCTGCTCCACACACCGACCCTCTTCAATCAAGAAGATCTGGTCGGCACGATGAATCGTGTTGAGTCGGTGAGCAATTGCGACGATCGTGGTCCGTCCAGCCAGAGTAGCCAGCGCTTCCTGAATCCGTTTCTCAGATTCAACATCTAGCGCACTTGTCGATTCATCCAACAACAACATACGTGGCTTCCGAACCAATGCTCGTGCAATAGAAAGTCGTTGGCGTTGACCACCGGAAAATTGCTTCCCATCCTGGCTGCACATGGTCTGGTATCCTTCAGGCAGTCCCATGATCACGTCGTGAATGTTGGCCATGCGACAGGCCTCCTCGATCTCCTCCTGGGTTGGTTCGTGGCCGGGGCAAGCCCCGAGCCCGATGTTGAAGGCCACCGTGCCTTCGAAAAGCACGTTCTCTTGAGGCACCAGAGCGATGTCGTCACGGAATTCTGTCCCCAACTGGCGCGTGACATCCACGCCGTCAATGATGACCGATCCGGATGTAGGCCGGTAGAATCGCTCCAACATGGAGAAGGTTGTGGACTTTCCCGATCCACTGGGACCAACCAATGCACAAAACTGCCCTGGTCTGATATTGATATCGAGCCCCTTCAAGATGGGCCGTTCTGGTCGATTCGGATAGGTGAAATGAACCCCCCGAAGTTGAGCCCCAATGGCACTGTCAGACGTCCGCTTGCGTGGACCACGGGGAACATCCACAGCTTCAATATCCTGCATGGCCGCCTTCTCCTCGAGGAGGCTACTAGAGGGTTTGAAGCTATAGGATGATCCAGGGGTGAGTTCCTCCTCTGCGGAACGAGTATTGAGTAGCTCGACGATGTTTGATGATGCAACTCGAGCCTTAGAAATGTCCGGTGCCAAAGCAAACATTTGGCCACAAGACTGGGTACTAAAGAGCAAAGCCGGTAGAACGATGAAGAACTGAGTCTGGGAATAGAGGCCAGCGGCGATCTGCTTCGAGCCCCACCAGTATGCAAGCGCATAGACCAGGTTACTAATACTGAACGCTAACGCTAGCCAAACATTACCATGGACGATTGCTTTCATAGTGTTTCGGTAAGGCTGTATTAACGCCCGGCCAAACACCTCATACGACTGCTTCTCCAGGGAGAAGGCAGATACTGCACGGATATTATCAACGGCTTCCACAGTAATCGCCGTGGCTTTAGCGAAAGCCTTTTGGTGCCGTTCAGCGAACTTGGCCTGGACCCGGAGCTTCATCATACCGGCGACCAAAAGCACGGGAATAGTTGGGAACAAGACGATCGTGATTTTCCAAGCGATTGCAAAGGAGATCACCAGACCAGCCACCAGGTTCACAGCGGTGGCCAAAAGAAGACCGATTGTCGAGCCGGTGATTCCACTGAGAGCCGAGGCATCACCAGTGATATAGGTGATTAGTGTTCCTGGTGTGCGATCATCCATACCGTGCCATTGCTGTGTCTGGCCTAGGAGAGACCGCAGGGAAAGTACCCGGATGCGATATAAAATCTTATCGGCCGCCCAGCCGAAAACAGCGCCACCAACGACATTGGCAGTGAGTTCGACGAGGGCAAGGATGAAGAAAAGCAAACCGTAAAGGTTGCCATTGTGGCTGATAGCATCCGCACCATTGCAAGGGTTCAAACTTCCTACAGTATGACCGAAAACGATTGCTTCGGCGGAGTAGGAACCACCGATAATGCAAGACATGACCAGCCCGATTAAGATCAATGGCAAGTTCGGTCGCATGAGAGAGAAAGTGTACTTAGTAGTAAACCATCCCGATCGCTTCTTTTTCTTTTCTTTCTCACTGCCATCTTTGGACCCAAGCGGCGTCTCAGCTACGACTGTCTCCTCCGTGACGTCTGATCCGCCGGTACCAACAAGACCACCTTCCTTCTCGTCAACGGCCTGAACGCTTCCTGAAGTGGAATAATTTCCGCGGGGTGCATCGCTGATTGCATCTTCCGAAATCACAGCATCTTCAGCATTCAGCTTCCCGAGGTTCTGAAGACGCACCATATCTGCATAGACGCCGCCATGCGCGACAAGTTCCGAGTGGGAACCTTCCTCGGTAACCCGGCCACTCTGGACCACTACAATCTTATGAGCATCTTTGGCAGTCGCTAGCCGGTGTGCAATGGACACAGTGGTGACATGTTCGGATACTTTAGCCAACGCCGCCTGTATCAGTTGCTCACTGGTGGAATCAAGCGCGGCCGTCGCTTCGTCCAGGATTAGCAGGGTTGGCTCTCGCACCAAAGCGCGAGCCAGTGCAATCCGTTGTTTCTGACCTCCACTCAGCTGATTTCCCGCCGTCCCGACACTGGTCGAGAGTCCATGAGGCAGGCCTTCAATAAAATTCAACGCGTTGGATGTAGCAGCGGCCTTTTTCACCAGATCAACAATCTCGGCTACGTGACTGTCACAAGCAGAGAGGGCATCTTTCTCGGACACTCCACCTCTAATTTTCTCCGCGAGTTCCGGTAGGCTGGCATCCATAATAAATGGTGCCAGTTCTTGATGCCTAGCATGTGCCGAAGAAACAAGGCCGTATGCAATGTTTTCAAGGATCGAGCGGTCCAGTAAAGATGGTTCTTGTTGAACGAAACCGATATTTCCACGCAAGTAGCGGACATTGATATCTCGGAACTTCGTCCCACCAATGGCCACATACCCGGATTTCGGATCATAAAATCTCTCCAAAAGAGAGACAACCGTCGACTTTCCACCACCAGAGGGTCCAACAATGGCAGTATGTTTCTTAGGTGGGATGACGAAGCTCATGCCCTGCAGCACAGGAACATCCGGACGAGATGGGTACGTGAAGTGGACATCGTGAAACTCGATATCCTCCTCGCCGAAAGCCGCCGACTTGTCACCCTCGTCCGACGTTCCATCAATAGCAGACTTCCGGTTGATGACCGCCAGAAGTCTTTGCGAAGCACCAGCTGCGGAAGCAAAAACATGGATAAAGGGCGCAACCTGACTCAGAATGAAAGAGGCATCGATGAGGACAAAGATTACTGTATACACAGCACCCACAGATACGCCTGAGTTTTCATTGGCCACGGAGTGGGCGATCATCTGAGCGCCTTCCCAGAAAGCCAGTGCGTTTGCGGAGTAAGCAACGAAATAAAGGAAACCAAGCTGCGCAGCATGCGTGCAGGCTTTCTTCAAGGCGTCCATGTGAGTCGCTGAGAGATACGAGGCGAATCGCGCCTCCAGGCGATCGTTGGCATTGAACGCATGGACTAGCGTCAAGTGCGACAAGCTGGATGAGGCGATGGATGTCGCTGAGCCAATGTTTTCGGTTATACGGCCTGCATACTTCTTGATATAATGGCCTCCAAGCAATGACATGACCATGAAGCAAGGAACCACCGAGATCAGCATTCCCGCGATTTTTGGCACTTTGATGAACGCCACGATATAGGCGGTCACAAAGTATGAAATAGTAGTTATAACCAGACCTACCTTCTCCGAGGTCCCCGACTGAATTACCTCAACATCGCTGACCAGGCGCGAGATAATGTCACCGGAGGGGAGAGTCTCGATGAAGTTTGCCTCCTGCTTGATTATACTCTCGAAATACCTCCTACGATAACGGCGCGCGAGCCGTTCGCTTACCGTGCACCAGCATGACGTGTGGATGTATATGAAACAGAAATTCGCGATAGTGATGTATATCACATACAACACCTTCGTGGTCACACTGTCCGAAAGCTCGGTTGTGGCGTCCGCTGACGCCGAGCAAGTGACGGTGTTGAGGTCGTTGATCAAATCACCAAAGACAATGCCGAGCAATGGGAAAGGAACTCCGCCAGCAATCGCAAATATCGTACCACAGATTATGAGAAACACATCTGTCATTGTGTAATCGAGCGAAAAGAGCAGCTGGATGTATGAAAAGCACTTCCCAAGGTCCTCCTTGGTCGGTATGTGTCTTTTTACGGCTTGCATCTGGTACAAAAGCTATATCAGCATACGCCGGGTTTCCCAGAAGGCCAGCCTGCAGGAGATGGCCAAGATAACCGGGACAGCAACGTACGAAGCCATTGTTGGTATCATTCGGACTCTTCTGTCCATTATCGACATTCTCAGCCTGTGACATGGTGATATGTGTTTAGGAAACCCCCGCAAGTGGGAAATAGAGAAATGGAACACGCGGCAGTCTTTGCCGCGGGGTATCAAGATATACAAAATCCTATCAATCCCTCTCGTGCCCAGCACAATTTCAATGGGATGGGAACCAGTTTGTCTCGTGTTTTTCTCCAATAAATGTCGGCAGTGCGGTCTTAGAATCTTGTGGTCCAAGAACACTCACGGAGCCAGGCAGAAACCCAAGTGAAAGATCCAATGCAGCGTGCACTTGGTCTCTTGAGTTAGAACTCGAAACTCCCCACAATTGGTCAGCCAGCAATGGCGGGAGAGTGAAATGGTTCACTCAGACAAACACCCCCAATAAGCATCCCCCGGGGAAAAGACGATGCTCGAGATCAGTGGCCAGGCACCGCGTACAAGTGACACCAGGTAGCGAACAGGAAGGGTCAAAGAAGGAACAGAGGAGGAGGAACCAAGAAGAAGGGGAAAAAAAAGAATTTAGCTAAAACACCATGACCCATGCCCACAATAGACACGCTAGAGGCGAGGGGATTTTAGCATTACAACGGCTCCGGTTGCGGCGCCCAGGTTCAAGACTGGGACTAATCATTAATTGACGCCATGGACAACAGCGGCAGACCCAAAGGCTTCGCTCTGCAAAAAGCGGAGTAGTCAAAAAGCGAAATGGTTGGGAGAGCCAGAGGTTACGAACTTACGAGGGGCATGATCTCCACTTGGCAGGGGAGTGAAGGGGGGCGGTCTCTTGGGTTACTATTGCCTCGGTGGATATCAGTTAGATTGATAAATTTTTCTTCTTTCTTTTTTTTTTTTTTTCTGTCATCTCGTTGTTTCCCGCCCATCCATGTAGGAAATGATCGACCACTCCAAGTGGGTTTCAGGCAGTGTGAATTTTCTGATGCAGAAGCACGGCACGAACCGACTATTGGGCGTCTTGTCCAGACCAGTGGGGCAAGGTTCATTAGTAGTGGTGTGGCTCCTAAAGCTGCGTTAGTAGCCGAGGGTATCGTCCTCAAAGAGGCCTTCTTCTGGTTAGAGAAGGAGAGGCGGAATGGTACGGAGTACGAAAAAAGAATCTCTATGCAAATAAAGATAAAAAATCGGGTTGTGGAGGTCCGAGTCAAGTATGCGCATCATCATAATAAAAGGTTTGATACTTGATGATAACAGTGGCGATCCATTACAGTTCAACATAATAACCATTATGCAATGGAATCGGACAGATGCAGAAAGACAGACCTGTCGTGGGGTTTCAATTACTAGTATGGGATTGAACTCAAATGTTCGTTGCGAATAAGATGGGGGTTTGGGCGTGGGAGATTTTTTATCTGATAACTTGAACTCTGTCGGAGAATCACCTGCAGACTCGTCACCAATCACGGCCCGCAGTCGTCGCCCGTAACGTACTAGACTCTAAAACCGAGGGGAAAAGACCCGATCGCAGGTTCAAGTCGTCGTGTTCTTCTCCTTCCATCATCTTCTCTCTTGCCCCCCAATTGTGTCCACTCTCAAACCCATTCCTTATGCGCCAATGGTCGACTATCCGAAGTAATTTGCGGTTCACAAACCTCACAGAAATAATTGCCTAGTCCCAACAGCCAAACTAGATAATAGCGTTATTACTTGATCGACTAGCCCCATTCAAAGACCCAATTCTAGCCCAGAAGTGACGAATTATAGTCTCATGGGTTTTCCAATTTTGTTCCTGATGGGGTTTTATCTTGGCCCGTCAGCACCCACCTTCTAGGTTTGGGAGATTTGGATATACTCCCGTCCGTCCTCGTCACACGAAGTTTTTTATTGATTTTATCTAATCTGATTGATCGATAACAACGAACATGTCGCCCCTTCACAGTTTCAGATGGGTCCCTTGGCACTCCTCACCTCCCTTCCCTACCCCCCAGAAAAATAAAAAAAATAAATAATAAATCAAATTAAGAGGGCTAACTAAGTTAGCGTACATAGATCTACATATTACGACTCACAGCCCAACATGCCCAAATAACCTGGTGGCTACAAATTGCTGGAATGCAGGGCAAAAAGGGGAAAAAAAAAAAAAAAAAAAAAAGGATGTGGGGGGAGACGATGATCCAACAGAGAAGAAGAAGATACTCGAATACAAAAGTCAAGAAAATTGCTAGTGAATTCTTGTTCTTTCCTTCCCGTGGGAGACACTATTGACTTACGTTAACCAAACGTCTTCGGAAATCGAAAAAGGGGCATTCAAGGTTGGAATCTAATCTGATCGGCATCTAATCAGATTCGCAGAATTTACTTTATTGGATACCGCCGATGATCGGTCCTGTCCGACTCTTCCGACATCACCTGTTGCTCGATGATATACATCTTTCATCATGATAGATGAAAAGATCCAAATAGCTGGAATGCTTGGGTTGTGGCGATCCTCCTTGAAAAATAGCCTCAATACCTCCCAGTGCCTCCATGACCAAGTTACCTAACGCTACTAAGAGCATGCTGTAGCAGACAGTAGATCTGGCCAACTTCTGATACCTTGTTCGTTTAACCTGCGATTGCAAAAATAATTCAAAAACTATTGCATTTGTTTATAACAGTTTTCAAGTAAAAATTGGGCCAAGACCTATCCCTCTGCTGTGTAACTTAGCACGAGCTTGTTGGTGGCGCCCTGCGAGTAGCCAATGTAGCTCCAGGATGCTTCTTCAATGACGCCTATACCGTAGAACTAGACCCAAACTTGTATCATTTCCCCACCGAACTTTTACTAGTACGTCCAATAGGTCCTTTTCCGCAAACGCCCCTATCTCCTCCAACAGCGCATCCGAGAACCCCGTCCCCTTTCTGTCTGGATTCTTTTGATAAAGGTGTTCGCAGAAGGCTCGAATAGGGTGGGAAAGTCATAGTTGGTTTTGGCAGCGTCTATCTTAGAGAAGTAGATGTGGATAACGAAGGATGTGTACAAAATATGCCTAACTGACAGGAGATCGGGGTAATATCGAGCAAGACGAATACAACGCATTTGGAATGATTGATGAATCAATGATGGTAGAAGTTCGTGCTGATCGAGTGACTGAGGTTTAGGTTTAAGTTAGACTAAATAGACGTTACATTGGAAAATGCTGCTTCTGGCCCTATTGGGTATGAAGCTATGCGATAGCTGATTTGATATAGCTAACCTATAGACCACCCTAGTATGGAAATTGCCGGAAGAACTCATTGATACTATACCACTGTATATTCATCGTACGCTGAGAGAATCTGTTGATATATAGATAGGTTGTTGCTAACCTTACATTGCTGGGATTGTAGATACACTAGTAGTTCTTTGTTGGCATTACAAGGGCCTTATTGGCTCCAATTCCATCAACAGTTCTCAGTATCTATTATGCTCTACCAATGCACGGTATCCTAAACAATAATATTCCAGTAACCCTAATCCAACGGACCCAAATTCCAATTATACAAAGGGGTATATAAGAAACCATTGAAAAGCCCAAATCAAAAACAACCAGAAAAATATCAATACCCAAATTGCTTAACCAAAGCCTTCCCCAGCACCTCCCCCTTAACATCAACGTCAATATCAACCTCCACCGGCCCAAAAAATTCCCCAAAGACCTTAACCAAAACCTCTTCACTCAACTGCATATGCTTCCCAGGAACAGACCTGAAAACCAATCTCCCCTCCTCATCTAACTTCTTTAGCCCAATCCAATCCTCCCTATAGATATCCCTCTCTCTCAGGCCGACAACATCCCCCGTCTCCTCATCCAGCTCCCCAAACCACGCACTCTCCTTGGGATGCACCATCTGATCCTCTTCAAACATATACATCGCAAAAGTATTCAACCGCCGCAGATTCACCCGATATGTGTCATTCTTTTCCTCGCGCTCATTATTCACATCGGCGAGAAAATTGCTACTGGCCAGGTACTCATCCAGCTCGGCCGGATCGCGGAAATACTGCGCGGGGACGAACCGGCCCTGCACGAATGACGACCAGCGTCCTGCTCGGAGGAGCGCCTCCGCGCCGCGGCAGATCCAGTCGCCCCAGCCGCATTCTTGGAATTCGGCAATACCGTTATGCTGGCTGCCGAAGGTGACAAGGTTGTGGACGGGCGGCACGTTGCAACGTTCGATGTAGCCACGGAGGAACTGGCCACCTTGGGAGAATCCGAGGGCGTTGATTGCCGGGGCCGTGCTGAGGATGCGGTCGGAGGCGAGTTGGGCGCAGACGGTGTCGATTTGTTCGCTGACGTTGCCGAGGAAGGTGGCTTGGCGATCGCCAGATGCAGTGTCTGAGAGATGGATGAGGTGGACATAGGTTCCTGGGTTGGTTTGTTCGGCGAGGGAAGCGACGGAGAGGAGGCCCTCGCGTTGGAAGTCGTCGCCTAGGCCATGCCAGATAACCAGTGGAAGGGGTGCAGATTCGGTGGTTTTTGGCTGTTGGAGGGGGATGGCAGTTGCGAGGAAAGGGATGGCTAGAAGCGTGAGGGTGCGCATGGTTGTGGTTTTGTTGTTGATGTATATGCTCTGCTGAGTTGTGAGGTTGAAGGAAAGTCAATATAGATGAATAGGCTGCAGTTGTTGTACAGTGAGGCTGCGGTCACGAGCCCCGAACATGTGATCATGCAATGCAATGTATGCTACAGATCGACACCATCCATCACTAGTAGAACTACAAGGTTAGATAATACTAATCTATTCGCAGTACTCAATGATGATTAAGCCAGCCTACATATATCAAGGACACCCATTCGTGTTTTCCATTTATATACACATCTTGTCCTATCTACCTAGCTTATCTTTTGGTTCTGAGGATATCCGGTAAGCTATCACGGCTACATATATACAAATATCACAATGTCATAGAATGATAAACCGCATATATTCACAAAAGCTAACTCGAACCACAAAAAGCACACACGAAACCTTTTGATGCAGACAAAAAAAGCACAGCTTGGGTGGGTAACCATAGGAAAGTCTATCAGATCATACGCCATTATCGAGGGAGATAAGTGAGATGGCAAAAGAGGGACAAGATTCGGACAAAAAGAAACCGGAAATGTAATGCAGAACAGAAAAGAGAACGTAATGATGGGAAAAGGTATAAGACAAAACTGGATATGTGCAGGGTCAGCAGAATGGTAGATGAGCGGCTGCTTTGCAACCATAACAAATGAAAACTAATAATGAATGAACGGAGAGAAGCGGGCATCGGAAAAGTGAAGTGTAGTAGTACGACATCTACAGGTATACCATCAGTAGGGAGGGCGCCCAAGTCCTCCACTCACGCCTCGTCGCCCTGTATTGCCTCGGGCCTTCCGTCTGCTGCCCCTCGTCTCCGCGTCCGCTGGCGATAAGAACCCATCCAGCAGCTTTTGCACGTCAAGGCGAGCGCTATCAATATTCTCTGCATACGGCTCAGCACCGTCAGTGGCAGCCGCTGCCAGACCTGTGCTCGATCGACTTTTATCTCTGCTGAGAGACCGGCCAGGCGACATACCAGGCGTCCCTGCCTTTCCATTCGTGACAGATGGTCGGCGAGGTCCGGGTGCAGTTGAAGGACGACTAGCCGAAGCCGATCGCTGCTGACCATCTGAAAGACCTCCTTGAATAGATATAGATGGAGGGATGGGCGGTACAGGCGGAATATCATCAGCATCTACCATGAAAGACAGAGCCGAGGCCTTGGGGGTTTCTTCCCCATCGAGAGAGATCCGTTCGCCTCTGGTAGACTGGGGCTTGACCGAGGCACCATCGTCAAACTCGGACAGCGAATAGCCACTGACCATACTGTCGCTACTGGAAGAGATCACACTTCGATTCGAGCCGTCAAGTCGACCCCTGAGCGGGCTCATTCGCCGGGCCTTGCATTCTTCATTGACAGAGAGGACTCGTCTCAGTTCATTCACGTGGACCGGAGATTCTCTACTGGAGCTGATGAGCTGTGAGCCTGATGAGTTCGGCACGCTAGTTCTTCGGGCATTCTGCAGACCAGCTGCAGATGCGTAAGCACTTTGTGGCACGGATGCGTTTGAGCTTGCTGACGGAGAACTAGTACCATTCTGATGGACATGGTTGCGTATAACCAAGGTTCCGGTACGTGATCCGCTCAGGGATTTGGCCTCAGTTCTTTCGTTTTCCGCAGCTGCCAGGCAGGCTTCTCTTGACCATGGAGATAGCATCTGCTCCCTGACGGCAGGGGGGAGAACGTTAGCCTTCGGTGTAGCTGTGGACGCCGACATGTGGGGCAGAACAGGAGCTGTCATGCTTCGCGGTGGAGACCCGACAGACCCCGGGGAGCTTGGAGGGCTGTGAGTAAGTAAAGTAATGAAGGAACCATAAGATGCTTCGATTCGCTGGATGAGTTCTTCATCGCAGTCAAACGGAATCAGGAGGCTTACGTCCTGGGCACCACGGCCACTGACCTGGACATTGCTGTTGTGGACGATCTTGTCAAGATTGACGGGTGGCAAGCGGATAGTCTCAAGCCAGACGCCGAGCTGTTGTCTTTTCTGAACTTCGCTCTGGATTCCGTTGCCAATCTTAGAGGTGTCCAAGTCGAACTTCTCAGTTAATGCCCACAGGTAGCCATAGACCAAACTTCCAATATTCACCAGGGCAGGGAAAGACTGGCCATCAGCGGTAGCCATATTGTCCTGAAGTTTCAGCACCATGGGAAGTCCGAATCTAACAGCGTTCACGCCAAGATGCTTTACCAGGCTCACTAGAAGTAAATGAAGCAGCATAATCTCGGAAGCAGCCGTCGGGTGATCAGTCGCAAGGTCAAAGATAGTTAGGTGAAGTAAGCGAAGGAAATTGGACTGCGCAATTAGAATGACCTTTTCCCTCTGATTTCCGCTCATGCTGGCAGTGCGCTTTCCAGGTCTTTCCGTGATGTCTGATAAGTCATTCTTGGCTGGCTGACTGGCGGGCCTGCCGGTTCTCTCCTTAACTTTAAGATCATCGGTAGTTGTTTCCAGGTTCAACCAGGTCAAAAATGCATCAACATATGCATACCGAACATCCCTGTCGGGTTCACTCAAAAGCCACTGCGTACCTTCCCATACATATAGACCCACTTGATGTCTGGATTCCGCAGTTACTGTGAATCCTGGCCGCTTCGTGTTAGCAACAAGGAGGATATTTTTTATGGCCCTGAGAGCTGTGATCTTTGCGCTGGGCAGGGAAAATGCTATTGGGCCACCCTCCATAGAGGAGACCATAGCACCGGCGCCCCCCAGTGCATCGGACTGGGCTGGGGACGATGTTATTGCCTGCTCGTTGCCTCTTGAAGGTCTGAAGCGAGTCAAGATCGTCCTGACCATGTCAACAACCTGCTCGCCATAGTAGATGTGCGTGGTGAGATTGCCAATACACTCCTGCAGGAGTGAGAGCACCTCCGTTCTTTTCACTGAAAGCTCCAGAACTGTTGAATGTCCGTTTTGCTTCTCGTCTGGTGTCGACTTTCCAGCCCTTGGGGGTGATACCAAAAATGACATATGACGTAATAGACCCAGTAAGACATCGATAACGCTAAGTCCGATCATATTCACAGGGGATTTTAACAGCCGATCAATCAGATAGATGATGGCGAACGATTCGTCCAGAGACTCTTCTGTGGGAGGGATGTCCTGCAGAATATCCATAGCGGCTACCAAAATAATGAAGCGAACCTGAACAGGACACCATTTGGCGATCAGTTCAATCAACGACGTAGCCCAGCTGTCCTTGTGATTCTGACCTAGGCCATTACCAGTTACCCGGCTTTTGCGCAAGATGAAATCCAGCACAACCTGAGTCGTGACACGAATCTGGCCGCGGCTGCTCCCATTGACGACAATCTGTTCCAGACACCGCAAAGCGAGCAATCTCATATCCATCTCCGCTTTTCGATCCATATCAGCGGTATTTTGAGCCGCCAATGACGCATCTCCCTCCACCGCGTCGACCGTTTCCACAGTGGCCGTGCTAACCCGGCGTCGGTGCGCAATCTCTGGTTCATTTTTGTCCGCTTCAAGGAGCTTCAGTTCGAGAGAACCAACCAAATTATCTTCCGGGCTGTAGAGATTTTCCAGAATGACCGGGAGGATGACCCGTATCGAATCTCCGCCATCCGCAGCCAAACCCGCTTCGGAACTAACCACGCCCTTGATCGCCCTTAATCCCGCCGTCTTCCATCGAACCGTAAGCGGAGGACCCGCGGCGAGCCTCGATTGCGTAGAAGGGTCGCCCTCTGCAAAATCCGCATACGACCGCACCACTTCCCGGTACTGTGTAGCAAAATCCTGTTCGGCAGATAGTGCCGCCATATCTTGATGTCGGCAGAAAATCTCGAAGGTCTCAATGGAATCCTCGACCATGGAGATATCCTGCGAGCGTACGACCGTTTCGAGGACTGTCATGACCGACCGTGCGTAGATCGGCAAGTCGCGGGGAACTTTCTCGATGAGCGCGCTCAAGATCTGAAGCGTAACCTGCACATTTCTACACAACGTAACGACAATGTCAGCCGGTCTTTCACCGCAATTTCCCGCAGATTATGTGCCAATTTCATCCATGACCGCTTGCTTGCCCTCCCCATTGTAAACTCACCCTATCTTGCGGCGCCACACATCCCGAGCTGCTCTTTTCTCCAGAAAGGCGCCGACCTTTGTCAGCTTGCTGCGGCGGGTGCTCACATAGTAGAGCAAATACGAGAGTTCACTCGAGTTCGGCTTGACCACCTGCACACCTTTCTGGTACTGTGGATAGCATTTCAGGACCAGAACCTGGTGTTTCGGTCTGCATTTCTGACGTACACCCTCCATCGGCTAGGGTGCCCGGGGGAGGCTATTCAATGTCCGTGTTTGGGGTTTCAACGGTAAAGGGCGTCAGGCGCGATCCCGGAAAGTGCCAGGGGTAGTGGCTGGGAGATGCAGAATTTAGTGGGTCAGAAAAAAGAGTCTGGAACCGGACATGGAGTCGAGGTAATTGAATAGTTTAGTGCACGCGTCACGGCCACAGTGAGGGTAGAAAATGAAGTCCAGGGCAAGATAGTCAAGTCACCAAGGGGTGGGGTCTGTCCATCGGATATATTAGGTAGTAGTCACCAGCTATGTCGGGGCGGGTCGTCTGTACCAGGAACGAATGGTAAGTAAGGAGTGACACTACGGTATTACGGCAGTTCGAGTGTGCTCAAGGAATGCGCAGCAAATAGATTACGCAGAAGGGTATGTGCGTGTGGAAAGGGAAGAAAGAAAGGACGAAAAGAAGAACGAAGGATGGGAGTTGTTTGTTCCTAGTGACGGAGTTAAGAAAAAGGAACCTGTCGGGAAAATCAGTCTGTCTCTCTCTGGCCCCGTGAGACTTGGCGATCGTCGTCGATTTAAGGAGTCTATTATTATTACCAGGCCTAGAGGTGGGTTGTATTTCTGGCGTCTATTAAATTGTCTTTTTCTTTCTTTATTTTCTGAGCATTCTCATATCCAATCGCAATACTTTTTCTGCCTCTTTAAAACGGAAAGGAACAGAAAATGAAGTAATTGCCCACGTCATAAGCTAAATAGGCTCGTATTTGCCTAGAAATAGACAAGTGTACACAACAACAGTCAATACTGAAATTCTGAGAACATCTTAAATTCCAAACAAAATTCACTCCCCAATCCATGTTACCGTCATCGATGATAAAACGCGCTCCCTTTATGGTAGATAGATACGTACATTGCACAACAATCACCCGTCAAATCTTCGAAGGTGCTCCCCGCATTAAGGGAAGATACCGACCGAGAATCAAGCTACATTCCGAACTACGCAGCATAGGCATAGCGAGAACCCTAAAAAGAACGCTGTGCCACCTCGCAGGGCACAAATAGCCGACATTGACGAACTATTCAAGGAAAAAAGCGGGCGTACCTCGGTCACACATGACGTTCCGCGCGATCGCAAACCAAGCGGCATCAGTGCGTCCGGACCTCGATCAAAGCAACTTCGCGGGGAAGAAGCGAAAAGGGTCTGAGAAAACCCAATTCTTTTACATTCCGATGTAGATCCCCTGAGACTTCTCCGCCGCCCGCAACGATTTCCTTTTTAGGTTGTAGCCGAGCAGACCTATCGTAGAGAATCTAGAGGTCAAGAGAAGATGCCCGCGGCTCTTCTTCACAATGGTGCCCCAAACCCGAGTTCAGGTCTTTGAATTATTATTATTCCCCGCTTCTTCCTGTTTCCCTTGTTCTTCCTTTTCTTGTTCCCCCTCCTGTTCGGTGGTTGCGCCGCCTTCTTCGTTGTAAATACCCGTCCCCGCTAGCCCTTCGATAACTTGGGGGCGAATGATGTCGCGACGGAATGTGTCTTCTTGGAGAAGTCGTAGTGCACGGAGTGTGGCACCAGGATGAGTTAGGAATTGGGCGTATTCGGGGGTTTTCCAGTAGGAGTAAAGGTATGCAAGGTACGCAGCGAAGGCCTGCGCGTCAGGATCCGCAGTGTCCTTGGTCGCGTCACCTTCATCGCCAACGTTGGAGACTCCCAGCAGATGGGGGTATGTGACTGCGAGGTGCGAGAGATAGTATGGGTTGGCCAGCGAGGAGACAAACTCGAGCTCGAGAGTAAAACGTGGATTTGTGAGAGTCGGCGGTGGGGGTTGTTCAGGTTGACCGGCAAGTGGTTGTGGCTGGTCCATGGCGTAGGGCCCAATGAGTTTTATCAAATCCCTGAGCGGTGGTAATTATAAAGGCAGTTGCAACGGCTGTGGGCGATAGATTTGATTATCGTAAAAATTAGTGGAGGGTAACGAGAAAGGTATGGTTGGTAAGGTCGAATGGGTTGTTGCTGTTGGAGAGTTGGAGATCAAAAGTGATGACATTTCTAGTAGGCTAAGCTGTGAAGGGAAAAGGCCGCGGTGCGACAAATAAACATTGTTTCATCTGGACTTCGTTCCATCTATTCAACATTGACCCACTCCCCATTGTCCAAATTTGTGTGAAACTAAAGCTCAGGTAGCAGAGTAATAATTATACTATTATAAGACAATTACAATTTTTAGAAGTTGAGTATCAATAGTTCCCGCATAAGTTCATAGTGCAACTACAGCCTAGTGCCCGTACAAACTCCGATAGCGGGGGAGCTCACTTTGATCTCTTCTTGGAGATATAAATGCCCTCCGAATTATTTATTCTCGTCGCCTCCACTAATTGCGAAATAATGTGAAAAGAAATGTGCGCTATATACTCATTTCTGCCTAAGTTTACCTGCAAAAAAAAAAAAAAAAAAGGGAATATATGTCTCTATATGTGGGCACGTGAGGGTGAGAGGTCTACGAATATATATTAATTCATACGAGTCAACGAACGGGAACCGAGATTATCATGCTAAGTTGATGCCTGTCATTTGAGTCTTGACCCTTGAGACAGAGACAGCCACCGTCTACTATCCCTAGACCAGGCTTTGTATGATGTATGAGCACCAGAGTCAAGCCTGCCCTCGTCGAGGAACATGCTATATATATGTAAATCCCACTTCGGTGCCCTAGTCAAGCCTTGGCTATGTCTTCTAATTCTTGTCACAGCCCTAGAGCAACCAATACTATTTCTTTACTAAATCTATTTAGAGAGTGAAGCTCGTATCTCTGCAAAGGTTTCTCACTTCGATGGAGTCCCGATATTAGATGTGTAGTAACCCAATCCACTCGTCCATCACCCTCCATCCATGGTCCACGGAAGCGTAAACGGTGAATGGTACCATTTCAAGCCCCTCTCATCCGAACATAATCAAAGGAAACCATTCCATTATTTCCCCCAGGAACAGCCCACGTGCCCAGCCAGAACCTTGGCATGGTACTCCTTGCCAAGCCACTCTTGGCTTGGCGGAGGACAAGGGCCGTCATCCAAGCTTCCCAGTGAACGCCCAGCTTCTGCACGTGTAGAAGATGGTGGGTTCCGATTTGTCTACAAGACCCTAGCTAACGATTCTCGATAGAATTCGCCAAGCACAAGGTACAAGGATTAGCAGCTTTCGAATGAGATTATCTCCCACGTAGACTTAGCCCGCATCATTCCACCCAGTCAGAGATGCATGGCCCGTACACAGGAGATGAGATAGCCATGCGAGGGTGGTATCTGGCCGTCGCATTCCCTTGGCATTCCACGTTTTAAAAAGGCACGTTTCTCCCGCCTGGGAATTGATCTTCCCTTGTCCTCCAGCTGCAGGCCCTCGTTTTCCACTTCTGCCTTGAGGTCACATTATCTGCATTAGGATGAGGCTCTTCTCAATTGCAGGTGCAGCGTTCTTTGCCTCCTGCGCTGTTGCCCAAACTTACCAGCGCTTGGGTGGCTGTCCAACCTTGGGCTGTGTTTTCCCACCTGACCAGTATGTCTTTTGTCCTTTGATTGCCGTGACTTCAAGTTGGTGTAGTTGGTGGCGGTAGAGAAACTGGAGCTAATTGTTGCACTTCTACTAGGGCGGATTTCCTTCCCGGACAGTACTTCGACATCCGCCTTGAAGTCCACTCGCCGGTCAACGGCTCTGAAGCTCGCCAGGGCCAGCCTGATCCGGACTTCAAGTTCACTATCGCGAGGAAAGGTGAAGAGGGCGTTGCTGCGGCAGAATATTTTGAGATTGATGAGCCGGAACTCGAGAGATGGAACTTTACCTGGTACGAAGGTAGGTTCGGAGCCGCCCCGATGGATATCAATATGGCATCGGCTAAGTGGTGTAGACCTGTTCGCGAAGGATGCGGACAAGCCCTCTCTCGTCAATGTCACTGCCAAGGCATACAGAAGGGTCACTCTCCACGAGCCTGGAGAGTACGAGGCGACATTGACCTATTACGGCCAGGAAAAGACGGTTGCCAACTGGCTGGTGCGCGACCTCCCAGAAAAGCGACGGGCCAAGAATGTCGTTCTTTTCATCGGAGACGGCATGACAACTAACATGATCACGGCGGCTCGTTTGATCGCTCACCGCAGCATTAATGGCAAGTACTTAACCAAGTTGCAATTGGACAAGTTCCCGGTCTTGGGCCACCAGATGACCCACTCGATGGACTCCTTCATCACGGACTCGGCCAACTCAGCCACAGCACTCTACACGGGCCAGAAGACCACAGTGAATGCTCTGAATGTCTATGTGGACTCGTCGAAGGATCCTTTCGATGACCCGAAATTCGAGACCATCTCCGAGATCTTCCGCCGCCGGTACCCCGATGCCGGCATTGGAATCGTCTCGACCGCTTTCCTGGCTGATGCCACCCCTGCTGCCTTGGCTGCTCATACTCGGGACCGTGGCGAGTATGACCACGTTATTAGTGCCTACTTTGAAGGGTTGACCAAGTATGAGTGGACAGACTGGGACGGCCCGGACGTCCTCCTCGGCGCCGGTGCGGAGAACTTCGTTACCAGCGAAGACGCGCCTCGGGATTACTACCAATTGTTCTCCGAGAAGGAGTATAGTATAAGCTGGAACAAGACCGCTCTGCAGGCTGCTCCGAATGACACCAAGGCCCTAGGTGTTTTCTCCACATCCAACCTGGCTACTTGGCTCGATCGCAATGTCTACCAGGAGAACCTTCGCAACCAGAGCAACTATCCGGATGGCTCAAAGCGCGACGCAGATGATCTTCCTGGACTGAAGGAGATGACCCTCAAGGCGATCGACGTATTGAACGCTCGGCACGAGGATGATGGCTGGTTCCTCATGTCGGAGGCCGCCAGTATCGACAAGCAGATGCACTCCTTGGATTACGACCGGTCTCTGGGCGAACTGTTAGAGTTGGATGATACCGTGCGCGCCACGATCGAAAAGCTCAAAGCCCTTGGACAGCTGGAGGACACTCTTATCATTGTTACCGCTGACCACGGCCACGGATTCGACGTCACCGGCTCGGTTGACACCGAATACTTGAACGCACAGGAAGATGATCGCGACAAGCGACGGGCTATCGGAACCTATCAGAATTCGGGACTCTCGCAGTACACCGTGCGCGGCCCTAACGCCTTGCGGTACTCGGAAGGGGTCCATTTCCCGGCCCGCTGGGACCCGCGCTACACTCTGCATGCCGGCGTGGTGGCGTTCCCCGACCACCAAGAGAATTATGAAGTGCACAACGAGGGACCTCGGAAGCCCGCGGTGAAGCGCAGTGGATCCGACGGCTACTTTGCCAACTACAAGGACGCAGTGACTGGGTTCCTAATCAACGGCACTCTGCCCGTCGATGCGGACCAGGGCGTGCACTCGTTGACGGATGTACCGGTGTTTGCGCAGGGCCCTTGCCAGGAGCTGTTTGGTGGCGTGTACAGCTCGGTGGACATCTTCTTCAACATGGCCGAATGTCTCGGGTTGGCTGACCATGGAAAGAATTAGGCCCTGGTTGTCATTTATTTTTCTTTGCTGTTTCCGGAGGGGGGGAATGTTAATTGATTGTTGACTGTAGAATTGCGGATCATGTACAGTAAAACTCTAATGAGAGATCCCAGATGAATGAAATAAACCCTGAATTTCTTTAAGCCCCTACGTGGAATGTTGACGTATATCCTGGGTTTTTCCCCGACGTCATCCTTTTCGACGCGATGCTGTACTCCGTACTCCATGCAGAATGCAGTCGGAGGCTGGGCCGTTCTACTGTACTTTGGTTCAGAAAACCAACGGAGAGAAAAAGAAAGCCAAGGCGCAAGATTCCGTCATCAAGCAGCCAACGAGCAGCATACCAGCGATACCTTGTCTGTCTGCCAGGGCGTTTCAATGTAAGGGTCCCAGTGGATAATTGCCAAGAAAAAGGATAACGTAGGACACTGACTAACAGCGTCGATCATTGAGGAACGAAAAGCTAAATTGGCCGCTGATCCGTTGCAGAGTGAAGCTGTTTGTGTTGTTATGAGGGGTCACTGATGCGAAGTACCTGATCGGAATGATATAGAATCGAAAAGAACTGATTGCATTGAAAGCAATTGAATTTTTTTTTCTTGCCTCTTTTGTCCACATTCTTTGCGGAATGTTATTTTGAGTAATGCGTGTGTGGAAGGGTCAAAGTTGGTGGTGGTGGTGGTGGCGTATTTTTCTCAAAATAGAATGAGCTTCAACGTGAGTCCCGTGATTATCACCACCTCAATACAAAGTACGGAATTGGTTGGTTTGCTCAGTATCTTAAATCAAGGATGTAAAATGATCAATAGGAGATTTCCCTTTGCTTTTTCTTTCCCCCAGAACTGCAGGACCCTCATGTACAGTACCTGCACTTGTTCCTGTTCCCGGTGCGCCTAATGCCTAAGATAGATTAGTGATCTGGTTGATGATTGATTTCTGGGGTAGCAGGTAGCAAGTCATGTCCGCTCTAGAGCCCGAGCCCGGTACTAATAAACGGAGTAAAGCATGGCGGGTAAAGATTCAGGGGTACCGAACGGAACCAATACATTGACTAAGTGCTGATGGGGAGCAGTCCATCAATCAGAAAGCGAGAATTCTGCCCACCGATGATAAATTACAAGGGTTAGGTTAGTGAACCTCGGGAGGAAGAGGACGGTCCGTCTAGGCTACAGTACTAGTAGTAGGTTCCTCTAGTACTAGTACTAAGCATGTACTGTACTGTGTACTTACTGCAGAGTAGTTGTTTTTACTCCTCAAGCTATCCACGCATCCCCGCGGGATTGACTCGATGGATCTTGCTCAGATGACCGAATTTTCGAGTGCATTGAGGGAAACTGAGAGAGCGCTTAATTTGCCGAGCAATCTAATAGTAGGATAATTAAAATCTATACCCAGTACAGTATACCCATGTGCTGAAGGTAGTAACCCCAACCCGGCCATTGGAGTGGATGATGTCGATCTGTATTTTATTACCAGTGGTGGTGTTGACATTCTATTGTTTGTTGGTGTCGATTTATAGGTAACATGTTTGATATCTTAGATGGTGCATTACTGATCTCTTTGTCTCTTCACAATCTGAATTAAATTAAAGTAGAAATAAAAATAAAAATAAAAATAAAAAGGCTTATAGCTACCGAGAGATCTAAGGATTGTCACTTTCTTACTTCCTCAGTGCAGTGTTCCTCTCTCCAATGGAGAATGAATCTCCATAAATCCACCTCGTTCTTTCCTCCCACCCCCCCTTTTTTATTAATTCCCTCCGACGATCCCTTCCACTGGAAAGCCTAAGGGGCGCGCCGCCGCTTCGTTTCCCGTCAATCAACCATCACTTTTACTTTACTCTACACAACTCTTTTTCCACTCCTTCCTTTCTACTGCTAGGTACTAGTCATTTCCCGTCTCTCTCTTTCTGCCCCTTCGCACGTTTCCTTTCCTTTCCTTACTCTTTCTTCTTTCTTTCCGCCACACACCCCTCCTTGGATCGGAAAAAAGAACGAAAGGTCAAATGAAAGAGACAAGGGCATTTCGCCATCCACACAAGCTAAAATACTAGTCCCAACGGTCTAATCTGTCTCCATAACTGCATCTCCGAAATCTCCTGCAATAAAAATCCCCCTCCAATCGTCACCGGCCCCCTGACCGACTTCCGAGGCATCGCTGTTTCACAAACCACCAGCTGGGATTTTTTTTTTTATTTTTTTTTATTTTCTTGTTTGCTAGCTCGGCGCTTGCGATCGATTATCGCATTATTAGAGCTCTCCTTTATTTCCCGTGATCGTGTTTTATGCTTCCCCTGTCATCCCCAATCGTCGCTTTTCACTCGCCCATCCTCGTGGACGCATTGCGTGTTCCGCCAACATGAATGCCTCTCAGCAACCTCCCACGCTCTCGTATGCTTATCCACCCGCCATGGCGCTGGGTCCGCAAGGTTCGTCATCTTCCTTTGTCTGGCTGGGCTCAATCGCAGAACGTTTCACATCGCTGCGGGGCCCGGCTCCCCTTATCAGTGTTGCTTCATTCCGTCGTCATTTTAGACCGTGTCTGGCCGGCGAGAGCTTGAGATAAACTGACATGGATTTTCTATTTCTTGTACAGTCTCCCCAGTTCGTCAGCCGTCGCCACAAGTCCCAGGGGTGAATCTGGGCTCCAACAACCCCTTCAGAAACCGTGCTCTCTCACCCTCGAACTCGATTACCTCAGGTAGTCGCCCAGAACGACCAACCTCGACGAATCCTTTCCTCGACGATTACGGACCCCTGTCGCCACAGTCGGCACCCACTGGCACTGGAAGCATGGTGTCCCCTATCGATCGGGCCGATATGACGAATAATACGCGCGACCTCTTTGTATGTTCCCTATTGACAAATGTTACACCATCCAAACTGATCTAACTGTTTATTTATCTGGCATAGGAAAACCTCTCGCTCAACTCCAACCCAGCTCCTCAACCAACGGGCTACCAACCCGCTCCGTCTCGCCCCGATCGGCCTTTCCAGAATGGTGGTGCTTCGAGCAGTCACCGCCCAACTACGTCGAGGGATCGTCCGCAGCGCCGGGAGAAAGATCCGCTAGACATCTTCGCTGACCCGCCGAGTGCAGGCCTGCCGAGGCCCCGGGACCGTGACCGTGACCGCCGCCCTCGTCGGAACTCCGAGTCGTCCATCATGGAGCGTCCCAAGCTGCTCGACCCAGAAGACGAGCGGCGCCGACGGGAGAGGAGGCGGCGGGAACGGGAAGCCCGTCATCGGGATGGCAAGCCTCGTTCCTCGAAGAAGGCCAACTACCAACTCGACATTATTGACAAGCTCGACGTGACTAGTATCTACGGCACAGGAAGTGAGTAGCACCATTTGACACCGTATTTTATTTCTGAAGCGTCCGACTAATTTGTGGGCAGTGTTCCATCACGATGGACCGTTTGATGCGTGCAACCCGAACCGTAACCGCAAGGGTGTACGCACAGCCCCCATGCAAGCCTTCCCTGCAGATTCTGCCAACATGGCCTTGGGAGGCGCGGGTCCCGTCAACCAGAACCTTAATCTGGACCTGTTCCATGGACGGTCGGAGCAAGGCTATAACGATTATGGCGCAGTCGAGACTCGTAAAACAGAAGGCGTTAACTTCGATCCCACGTCGCGGATCGAGCCGGTGCATGGCGAACAGAGTATGGGCTTAGGAACCAGCACCTTCTTGGATGGGGCTCCTGCCAGTAAAGCCGCCATCCAACGCCGTGAGAGCGAGAATGATCAACAGATCAAACAAGGGGCGGGGGGTCTGCAACGGAAAAAGAGTTTGGCACAGCGGCTCCGTGGGGTGGGCAACCGCCCGTCCAACGGCCGTGTGGTATCACCTGAAGCATCATATATGGCACCCGCGGGCTCCGGCCATATCGGAACGATCAAAGCCAACGAGAAGAACCCATTCTTCCAGGATTACGACGATGCGTGGGAGAAGAAAGGTGCTCGAATCGCCGAGGAATCACAAGGACTGGGACGAGCTCGTTCTTCTAGCAGTCCGAAGCAAAGTTCCGGCCTGGAGCGGAGACACACAGAGGACCGATCATATGGATACGACGAGGGTCGTAATGCCAACGGGAGTGGTGGCGGCGGCGGCTTTATCAATCGGATGAAGAGCTTGCGCAAGCCCCGTCCCGAGAGACGAATTAGTGACGACTGAAGGTCTTGAGATGTCCTTTTATCATCTTTATTCTGTACTCCTTGCATTGGGACCGCACGACTGGTCATTGGGGAAGGCACAGATGGAAGAACACTGGATCGCATCATTTCACAGCCCACCAGGAGAGTTTCCAAATGCAGATAGCAATGTGGTTTGGTCTAGTACCTCAGGAAACCTTTCATCGATTGACAATGGGATATCATGACTACTACGATGATGCCCTGTGAATCTGGTGGGAAAGTCCATTCCCGCAGGAGGGGATGGCAGGGACAGGCGAACATAGGATAGCCTGGGGCTGTATATGGTGGGTGGTACATGGTTTCTCTTATTTATTCACTTGGCAGCGCGGACGAAAATGGACGGCGTTGGTTGATGGTTAGTCTGGGGCTGGGAAAGGATGCCTTGGGCCTGGTTTTCTGTGGTTTCTATGTGGTTTCTTCCTTTTCTCTTCAGTAGTTTATCTCAAATCACATGCTGTATGTCTTATCTGACTGATAGTTGAACTCGGTATTGACAACATTCAATCAACTTCGCAAATGCACCAGAACACAATAAATACTGTGAAGACCCAGAACTCCACAGCCCGAATGAAAATATCTCTCCATCAAACCCGTAAGAAAAGATTCATCCAAATCAGATCAAATCAATCCATAATCCACACATATTAGTGTACCTCTTTCATATTTCTATTTAAAAAAAAAGGAAAGAATAAAAAATGATATCATAGCAACCCGAATAAACCCCATTAATTAGCGTAAACCCCGCACAATCCGTAAATCACATGAGATCTAGTAAGCCCGAGGCGCAGTCGGCTTAGGAATATACGGATTTGGCGCAGTAATACCCGCTTTCCGTCTCGACTGAGGCTTAGGTCTAGATAATGTGTACCTGTTTTACAATTGTCAATACCGTATTACTTGCAAAGGGAAGGAAAAAAAAAAAAGGGAGGGAAAGATAACATACTTGGCAAAAGCGCGCGAGAGAGCTTTCTTGCAGGAAACCTTCTGACTGCCGATGAAGGAGTCGACTGTCACTGCTATTGCGCGGTCGATGTCTTGACTGGAACAGTATTCTGATAGACGCATTTTGCAGAAGGATTCTGCGATACGCATGATGGCTTCCAAGTGACGGACCTGTGGATGTGTTTATTAGTTTTGTTTTATTTAATTGCTGGGGTTGTTTGGTTGTTTGCGGGAGCTTACGGTAATGGGGTATGCGCCTGTTGCGAGGGATTCACGGCGCATGTCCGCGAAAAGACGGGCGATCTTGTCTTGATCGATTTGGTAGAGTTTCGGGTGGCAGCGTTCACGGGCGTAGAGGATGTATTTACGAAGGAGTTCCTGGGGAATTTCGCCTTCTTTTTCTTCTTCGATTTTGCGGTTTGCGGCTTCGCGGGCGGCGATTTCTTCCGGAGTGAATGGGATGCGGTTACCCTCCCTGTCAAGACGGTAGCCTTCTTCGTCGATGCGGTGGCCGTCGCTATCGATTAGGTTGCCTTCTTCGTCCCTCAGGGGACGGGCTGGGTTGGCGCGATGGTGGGATTCAACGACGAAATTGGCGAGGCGTTCGTCTTCATCAGGATCCACGAGATCGCGGACAACGCAGAGGATGTCGAAACGGGAGAGAATGGGTTCGGTGAGCTCGACGTTGGCGTTAAAAGGTGCAGTGCTGTTATAGCGGCCCCCGAGGGGGTTGGCTGCTGCAACAACAGCGCAGCGCGCTTGAAGTGTGGTGACGATACCGGCTTTCGATATGGAGATGGTTTGTTGTTCCATGGCTTCGTGGATGGAGGTACGGTCCTGGTCATTCATCTTGTCGAACTCATCGATCAGACATGTACCGCGGTCTGCAAGCACGAGAGCACCACCTTCCAGAGTCCATTCGCTGGTCAGCGGGTCTCGGCGCACACTGGCTGTCAAACCGACGGCACTGGCACCTTGACCCGTTGCAAAGACGGCACGGTGGGCGGTCTTCTCGACGTATTTGAGGAATTGGGATTTGGCAGTACCGGGGTCACCGAGAAGTAGGACGTTGATATCTCCACGGATCGACATCTTGCCCTGGGCTTGCTTGCTGACACCGCCAAAGAGAGAGAGAGCGATAGCTGTCTTCACATCTTGGTGGCCGTAGATACTGGGAGCAATGGAGCGGACGATCTTGTCCACGATTTCTGGGTCTCGCGAGAGCGCGCGGATCTCACGCTCATCTTCTTCAGTCAAGTGGAAACCAGCCAGCTGGTCGTGAGACTTGATAACATGGTTTGCTTCGATAATAGTGGCGAACACAGGGAATCCGTTCTTGTTGTTGAGCTGGGCATCGTAGCTGTTGCGATAGATACCAGTCACTTCAACTTCGTCACCAGGCTTAGCGGAATCAATGAGATCGGCAAGAAGAATGACTTCGCGCTGGCGTGGAAGTCGTCCGGCAGGGACGGAGCCAGGCGATTCTTGAAGAGTCATTTTTTGGTAGTTACGGTAGACGGTCTTCTCTGAGTTGACGGTGAAGGGTCCCTTGGACTGGCAATTCTGGCAGTAGGAAATCTTCACTTCTTGGCTGGCTTCCTGCTGGAACGGCCCCAGAGTTATATTACATTTGCCGCAAACGAACATGATATACTTCAATTGCGGGAACACACCACTGCGGCGCGTGACAACACCGGTGACACGCACCAGGGAGTTGAGATGAGACTGGCGCAATTGACGTAGAGTGCTAACGGTAGGAAGGTCAATGATGCGAACGTGGATCTCATTATGGATGTCGTGGTATTGGGGGTAATGGAACAATGTGACATCAAGAGCAACCTGGTCGAAAACTTTCAGAACCTCGGTGGGCTCATTGGCCACGAAGTATGCCAATACAGCCCTGGTGCTGGACAAGTGATCGTAGGAGACTTCGAGAGAGGCTGAGTTAACCTCACCAAGAGTCTTGATCTTGTTTCCGTACACCGAAGCACCCGAGTCGTCAGTGAATTCGGTCAAGAATGCCTTGAACTCTCGGTAGATAGAGCGCAGGACTTGAGGCTGCAACACCCAGTCTGTGACATTGGGGGCTTTGATATCCATCATCTCTTCTAATGAGAGCTCTTCCATGCCACCTTCACCCATGTCGATATCTTCTTGGTCCTCGTCGTAGTGATGTCTCCGCCGGCGAGGCTGGCGGGTAAGATCTATGTTTTGGTCATCATCGTCTTGCAGAAAAGCACGAGGCATGCGACTGCGCCGTGCTAGTTCCCGATCTCTCCTGTTCAAGCGAGCTTCCAGTTGGCGACGTGTGCCTATGTCTAGCTCTTCTTGCTCTTCATCATCAATGTCGGCTCCTTGGTAACGATCATCTTCTCTGCTCGTGTAGTCTCTTTCGAAGCTGTCACCGAACAGGTCAATACCTTCCCCTTCCTCTGCCATTTCGTCAAGGTCATCAATATCTTCCAGAAGCTCTGCTTCTTCATCGCGGTCGTCATCTGCATAAGGAAGCATGGGAGGGGAAGAGGGGGGAGCTACAAAGTCAGTATGCACACAGAGCAGATTCTTTCTTCCATGCTTTAACTTACGACTAGAGGGGGGCGCGATTGAAGATGTTTCATCATCGGGCTCTCTGTCTCTCTTGCGACGGTTCAAATTCCCTAGCCCGCGATTTGCGGCGGTATTACTGGGGCGAAGTGGTGAACTGTAGAGGTCTTAGCCTTGTTCCAAGCTGAACAGCAGGGAGAAAAAGAGAGAGAAAAAAATTTGGTATGGACAATATGCGCGACATGTAGGATATAAATTGGTACATACCTCATTGTGTGTGTATATTAGTGTGGGAGATGGTAATTTGAAAGAATGACAAAGTGAACCAAACCCACAAATGTTCCTGAGTGAGGGTCTTTTTCGTCTGCTGCGAGGAGGAGCAAAGGGAGGATTCAATCAATTGGTTGCTGGGGCGGTGATGCGTGCGGGTATTGAGAGACGCGCCAAAGCGCGACATGACGCGTCGTTTCAATTAAACCCGGTTTAGGAAATTTTATGACTTGGTGCCTGATTATATACCCCAGAGGCCCAGGCATAGTGTGGTGACGCTAGTATAAAGCTCTGGAGGCTGGAACAAGTCTCTACGCACTATTCCCTTCTTAGTGTCTCTCAGAGACTGAGACCTTAGAACATTTATCTTTTGTCGTCCGATGTGATTATCGCGGTGGTGGATACAGCTATGGAACAGACATATCACCCGTGATGCGCTCAGAAACCAATGTCTCCATGGTCCAAAAGTAGTGAACTTCAAATTATACTCTCATTATTATCCTAAAGAATAAGCATGTAATATATTATTATGGAAATATAAAATGTAAAACAGATAAACCATGTTTGGCTCACAACTAACTGCAAACAAAACAAACACTTAAAGTGCTCTCGCGCCGCGCGGTGTCTGAGCGCAAACGAGAGCTAGGCGCAGAACAGCCTCGATCCGTCCTACCATCACCGTTTGATTAGTATACTTATACCTAAATCAGCGACTCTTTCAATCAGCATGAATAGCTCTGAGTCCGTGCCATCCAACGCCGACCAGGCAAAAATCGGGCACAATGCTAGCAACCGGCGCGAGAGCTTCAGTTCCCAGAACTCGCAGACTGCGAAAGAGTAAGTATCCAGTCCATCTCAAAGTTGACAAAGAAGCGCACACTCATGCGATGGGTGATTCAAAATAAAACATTATCTAACGGTACGCTCTAGGTTCATCGAGAGTCAGATGCAACTCGAAGCCGATGCACGCGAAGTCTTGCCTTATGTGAGCATAGATTTCCTGCGATAGACCACGTCATACGAAACTGACCTTTTAGTCATTCGACTCCTGCACGAAAGCCTTAGGACCACTGCGACAGACTTTATACGCTTGTTTAACCTGCAATCCTCCTCCCAAAACCGCCGATGCGCCGCACAGCGCAGCAGGAGTATGCTACTCCTGTTCCATCGCCTGCCATGGCGAACACACGCTCGTTGAACTATTTAACAAAAGAAACTTTGTCTGTGATTGTGGTACGACTCGCGTGCCATCTTCTGCTCCATGCATGCTGCGCAATGATCCCAAGACCGGTACGAAGGGTGTCCATTCTGAAGAACCGCATCCCGAGAACAAATACAACCAGAATTTCCATAACAAGTTCTGTGGTTGTAGTGAAGACTATAACGCGGAAGAAGAAAAAGGAACGATGTTTCAGTGTCTTGGACTGGGAAATGCTGAATCGGGCGGCTGTGGCGAAGACTGGTGGCATCCAGAATGTCTTATCGGGCTGCCGCGGGGTTGGTATAAGGACTTCAAAAAAGACGCGGGTGAGAATGGTCTGACTGAAGATGATGAAGAGACGCCACTTCCTCCGGGATTCCCAGGGGAAGACGATTTCGAGACGTTCCTCTGTTACAAGTGCGTTGACTCAAATCCTTGGTTGAAACGATATGCCGGAACGGTGGGCTTCCTTCCCCCTGTGTACAAGGAAGGTGGGTTGCCCAAGACGACCGAATCTGCACTAGAGACCACGACTACAGATGTCAATGAAGAGCCCACCAAACCCAAGAAACGGAAAATGGAGGATGAGGAAGAAGGCGAGCCCACTGCGAAGCGGACCAAGGAAGATACTGAGAACACCCCATCGGACTCGAAGCCAGAACCCAACCCAGCAACAAATGAGGAACCTACTCAGGCACCTCCACTGAAGAACAAGCATGACTCTCTCCCCGACCCTGTTCCTTTAGGCGCATTCTCCTTATTCTTGAAAGAAGACTTCCGCGACCACTTCTGCCGCTGCCGCGACTGTTACCCCAATCTCTCACCGCACATCCAGTTGCGTGAAGAAGAAGAGACCTACGAGCCCCCGATCTCTGAAGATGGGGAGGCCAACGGTGGTGGCAGCACTGGTACCGGTAGCCTGCTTGACCGTGGTGAAGCCGCCTTGAGCAACATCGACCGTGTGCGAGCCATCGAAGGCGCAATGGTATACAATCATCTACGTGACAAAGTTAAGGAGTTTCTGAAGCCATTTGCGGAGACGGGTAAGGCTGTGGGTGCGGAGGATATCAAAGCTTACTTTGAGAAACTTCGCGGCGATGAACAGCACATCCAAGATGCTGCTGGCCAGGCGTCGGCACTCTCTAGTAAGGATGATAATGATGATAATCATGAGGGTAACGGACGGAGAGAACAGAACGGTACGTATTAAAAGAAATTTACTTTTTCGGGAGTGATCGCTAACTATGAATTAGGCTACTAAATGATTTCGATGTATTTACTTATGATCTGAATTTTTTTCAATTTCTTCTCATCTTTGTTTGACATTTGGCATTGGGTTTGGGGCAGGTGGGAAACAGGGATCTTGGGCGCGAATGTGGGAATGCATCTTGATTGTCTCGTTTACGATATCATAGATAAATATTCGGCATATCCGTTTACAGTTGAGATGACGCTAAACGGCTAATATTTTACTAAATGCTCCATATTTACCTTTATATACAGTAGATATGCTAAATCTACCATGCCATCTCAGCAGAAAAGCCAAACCAACGCCAATGCATTATGCCACAAATCAAGTATATGCAGATACAAAAGCCCGCAAGTACTCCCGCTCCAAAGTATAGATAGGCTCTCAAAGTATCGACAAGGATCAGGTTATTCTTTGAGCCGTTTTGAGGCGCGACCCATTAAACTATCATCCGGTAACCCGCTCCGCTTCGTACCAGGTAGGCTGCCAGACCGGATATCATTATCATCCTGAGTGACACGACGGTGAGGATATTTTCCCTCAAAGCCCTCGAAGCAGTTAGCGGAGATAGGGCCGCCGTTCTTGAAGTATGGATGCTCCAGTGCCTCCTGCGCAGTTATCCTCTTGGTAGGATCGTACTCGAGTAGTCTCGATAAGAGATCGTATCCGTCGGCACCAGGGGTTCCGGCACCGGACGAGGTGGCATAACCGCCATTTTTCAAACAACTTTGATACCAGCCTTCCAAGTTCGAAGACCGAGGAAAATGGCCTGGAGCACGTGACATGGCTAGTGATTGGAGTTGGGAATATTCGGGCATCGACACTATACCCGGCCAGATGTCTTTGGTGGGGAGACCCATGATTTCGATAATTTTCATCATCTGGTTACGTTGGAAAGGCACTGTTTTTTTACTATCCATCTTGGCTTCCTCGCCTTTGAAAATGGGGCGGAGGGATAAGAGTTCTGCAAAAATGCACCCAACGGCCCAGAGATCGACGGCTGGGGTGTAGTGACGACTACCCATCAGTAGTTCCGGGGCACGGTACCAAATCGTGACGACGACTTTATCGCCCGAGAAAAGAGAGTTGAGGGGTTTGTAGAAGAGACGAGCCAGACCCAAGTCTCCAATACGAATGGCGCCACTTGACGTAACCAGGATGTTGGCTGGCTTCAGATCTCGATGCAATACCCAATTTGTATGGAGATAGAGTAGGCCGTTGAGAAGTTGAAACAAAATCGACCTGACCATTGGGGCCGGGATAGCATGCCTGTGTGGTTGCGTATGATGATGAATAATCTGAAGTAGATCATGTTCAGTATATTCGAAGACCATGAAAATGGCTTTGTCCTCGAGAATGATCTCTTCTAGCTGTACGACATTGGCATGATCCAGTTCGGAACACAGGGCCATCTCCCGAATGGCAGACTGTGAGAGGCCGGTGTATTGGATGATTTCTCCCTCTTTATCCGGTTTAAACCTGCGACTGGTCAGCGAACCGAGACTAACGGAATAATGAACGAATCCTGCCAACTTTTTGATTGCGAATTCACCCTTCTGTCCATTTTTGCCAAGGGCTTTGTAGACTCGTCCGTAAGTGCCGCTGCTGATGAATCCCACAATGTGGTATTTGTCGCGGACACGGACTTTGCTGGTATATCCAGTTCCAGACGGCTTCCTTGGATCTAGGTGCTCTTTTAACATTATAATAGTGTTAGCTTCCAACAGTCATTTCTCGCAATACGTAAATCAATAATCCAAATACTATAACATAGTACTGAAATAATTTCCAGGGAAAACAAAGAGTCTTAATAAGGGGAACGGTATTTGGAACTCTTTCAATCCAATGCCAGTCAGGGAAAGCCATTACCACGTGGATAAAACCCGCCGATAGAGTTGAAAAACGGGAAGTTCCTTCCAAACATGATGAAAGAAAAATGCAAAGACGATCTTGGTGGACAACTGATCGCCTTCTTTGGGAAGGTGTTGTATAGAAGTGGTACTATAGGTGTTCATACGATTGCAGACAGGAATATCTTTCACTCAATCAGGGCACATCGTGACATGGCAACCCTAAACAAGAAAAGAAACTTGGTTGAACAAAGAGAATGAAAAGGTATCAAATTATAAAAAAAATAATGAGGATTATAATATAAGATAATAATAACTGGTATTACCATCAACAGCGGCCTGCAGGTTCTTTTTCAGAGACAGACTCTGGCTGACGGTGGCCGCAGTGGGCCTGGACGAAGCAGCAGTTAACGGGCCGGAGGATGAGGGTGGGTTTGTCAGACTCATGGAGAGAGAGACAAGAGGCGAATGTGGAGATGGCCGAGGGTTCGCTTCAATGAATCAGGAGACAGACCCATGGAACCCAGTGGGTGGTGTGGTGCGAACAGTGCACGAAGATAAAAAGGAGGTACGGGGGGTCAGCTCCACCGCTAGACCATGAGACCTGCAGGATGCAGTAATAATGGCGATAGGGAGAAAATGGTATGGAGATCTGAGAAGCTGAAGACGATCGCTGATTTGTATTTGTTTGCATCTAAACTCATGCCCTGAATGGTTAGTCAGCAATCTTACCGAATTGTCCAATCATACGGTTTTTCACTGCCATTAGTAGTACTACTATACCTCATTATTACTACTAGGTAGTCAAATCTCTAACTCTGTATACCTATCAAAAGACGACTTAAGTGATATTGCCTGATAAGAGCAGTGTACCTTGGCTCTATATACGAATAGGCTCATAGGCTATTCGTTCATTCAATCAAATTCAATCATGCAATGTACCAGCCACTTACAGCTCTATATCTTCACTATTTACAGCAATCCTACTGCCCGGGCAAGGAACTTCAACCCTGGTAGGACATACTTAACAAAGCTCATGTCATCTTCTTCCAAGGTCAAGTCAAACACATGCTCCTCACCATCTGCCAGTAACAGATCTGTAACGACCCCCAACCTCATCAACTCTTCATGAGCCTGTTCACTAAAACGATGGTTCGTCACTTTATCTGCTGTTCCATGAATAAACATGGTTCGTGGAAACGAGGTCGAAAACCGAGCCGTACCATCAATACAGCTCTTATCTTCATTCTGGACTAGCTCATCCAACAAGGTTCCTTGTTTCATATGAGTAGCGAACCATGCATCCCTCGGAGGAAGAGTATCGCCCCCTAAGAAACGCGGCGATGCAGAAACTTGGTGCCCCTCGTAAACCTTATCAATATACTCCTGTGGCCAAGAGGATGATTGTTCAAACTCGGGAATAGGTAGTCGCCACGTCGGATCGGAAAAGTACTTGAGGCCATAGAAGTCAAGAACCGCTGTGACTGGGACTTCGGGCGCAGATCCCTATTACTCGGTTAGACAGTGTTGCCCTGCTTCTACGTGTGTCATAGATCGGACGCACCATCAATAAAGCCAATGTTCCGCCTGCGGAATGTCCCATAGTAACAATTCGAGTCGGGTCTACTTCCACAGACTCATTTTGCAACAATGCGGGCAACTCGTTAGCTGCCCATACCAAACAATCTCTAGAATCTGTGATCGGACCATTGTAGACAGAAATTTGTGGACATAGTCTGTAGTTCGGCACTATTACCACGAATCCTATCTTTGCTAAAGCAGAGATTTCGGATTTTGGAACGACCTCTTTAGACCATTTGACAAAACCGCCGGCATGGTAGATAATTGCTGTATGGCCAAGGTCAATAAAGATGGCCCCATCACATACGGAGGGGTATACCAACCAATAGGACTGCTACATTTGGAGGGTATTTCTGACCAGTAAACATCGGTAAGAATATCTTCACCTTCATTACCTTTCTTATAGATATATTCACGAGCATTCATGGTGTCAGTCGATATGATAGAAGAATAAAGGGTAACGCTGATTTTTGAAAGCAATAAAAGACAGTATGGCCAAATTTATATTACTTTCGAATACTTGAATGAATGATTGCGAATGATGCTGCCTGGTGATATCCTCTTTAGTCCCAGAGAGGTAAAGTAGGGATCGTATTTCGGTCCTTTGTGGCGTCACGTTGTAGTCTCGTATACATTCTCAAATCCACTACGCCAGAGTGCAGATTTCTATTGGTAAATTAGCAAGTTTATTAGTCGAGACGTATTCGTATAACATATCCCTTGCGGAATTTAATGATGAATTGGAGCAGGTGCTCTGGATTCTTCCAAGGATAGCTGAAACATGGTGTCGGCTATGAGAGAACTCTTTAGAAGGATTCAGATTAGTGTATATACTAACCATGACCGATTTTTCAGAGAGTATATATATTGAAATCAAAATGTTGCAAACTTTGAAGTATTACCTTATATTTACCTGATACACATGTGTCCGGATAAAATAGGCTGATACATCTCTCAGTTCAAGAAGTTCACCTTAATAAGGTACTACTAATGAATATAGACTGAAATCTGAGATATATACACGCGGAGTGATAGAACCCATCAACAAGAATGACAAGGGATGCGATTACTTATAAACTTATGTAGGACAAAAAGCATGGAGAAACAACGGATCAAGAAGATCACGTTCTATATCCAATCCTCCCGCCACGGAGTTTCCTTATCCCGATAAATATGATAAGGATCCAGATAACGTCATTCCATCTTGCAAGATAAAGGAGACTCCACCTCAGCAACTAATCATCAAATCTCCAATCAATATTAATGAACCTAAACCAACTTCAAGGCTCCTGAAAAAGTAAAAAGAGCTTCTATTAGCACATGCACCATGGTCCTCGGTGGATCAAACGGGTCGAAGGTCACTTCGTACCTGATCTACCTTGTGTTTATCACGACGTTGGGGCCGCTTCAATTCGGATATCATTTGGTATTACACTGAGCTTGATCCATCCTGGAGGCTCCAGTGCATTAGCTGACAAATTATTTTGATAGGCTGAGCTCAATGCCCCCCAGGCCGTGATAACTTGCGAGCGCAAAAGCATCCATTCGACAACAACAACACAGGGCCTCCCGCAGTGCATACCTATGAACCCATCCCAATTCGGCCTGGTCTCCTCTATATACACCCTGGGGGGCTTGGTAGGAGCTCTTCTGGCAGGTCCAGTCTCCACCAAGCACGGCCGCTTATTCACACTGCGAGCAACCACCATCTTCTTTATCCTAGGCCCTATAGCGGAAACATTTGCGTCCAGTATACCCGTATTGAGTCTGGGTAGGCTTCTATCTGGTGTTGGCGCGGGCGCTTCCATCGTCGTGGGTCCAATATATATCTCAGAAATTGCTCCTCCCAGTGCTAAAGGGCTTTTCGGCGCTTTTACACAAATCATGACTAATGTCGGTATTCTGTTGACGCAGTCCCTTGGTTACTTCTTGAGTGAAGGAAGTATGTGGAGAATTATACTTGCAATTGCTGGCGCCATCGGATGCCTGGAGCTTCTTGGTCTCTTTTTAGTCCCAGAAAGTCCCATCTGGCTTGCAGATCACCAGAAAGGGAATGTGGCTAGACAGGTACTACAACGTATACGAGGAAAGGATGCAAACATTGAGCCAGAGTTTGAAGGCTGGAGAACATCTGCAGCGCCTGAACACAGCTCCGGGGAAGAGCAGTCCTTACTATCACCCCCATCTGGGAATATGCCACCCAAGCAACCTCCAGTTACCATGATACAAGCCATTACTGATCCTTTTTACCGCCCTGCCATCATTGCAGTAGTCGGAGTCATGGTTTCCCAGCAGTTCACTGGTGTCAACAGCATCATCATGTACAGCGTTTCCCTCTTGCAGACCATTCTTCCCACCACTGCGGCCCTATTGACGGTGATCATCTCAGCTATCAATCTTGTAATCACCCTGGCCTGCTCTCCACTACCTGATAAGATCGGTAGACGCTCCTGTCTACTCCTAAGTATCAGCGGCATGGGTCTAAATTCCGTTCTATTGGCGCTAGGCATCTACTTCAACCAGAAAGCCTTATCCGCCATTGCTGTTCTGCTCTTCGTTGCTTGTTTCGCTGTCGGTCTAGGCCCAGTCCCCTTTATTCTGGCCTCTGAGCTCGTTGGCCCGGAGGCGGTCGGCGCCGCACAGAGCTGGGCGCTAGGAGCGAACTGGATTGCGACGTTCGTCGTGGCACAATTTTTCCCGATGCTGAACGATTTGCTGGGCGGGCGGGGCAAGATCTACTGGGTTTTTGCAGCGATGGCCTGTCTCCTCGGAAGCTTCATCTACTGGTGGGTGCCGGAAACTAAGGGGAAGGCTAACGCAGACGAAGTTTGGGGAAGGACAGACCAGCGAAGACAGGATTAAAATTCATCTGTCCTCTGATTGTTGTTTTCCGGGGCCCTACTCTGCCGCCAACATTCAGGTTCCCAGTCAATAGTCAATTTGTAACTATCATCTCGAGGGATATCTTGCAAAACCATGACCTCCACAGAGGGATCTATCAGGTGACAGTATTAAAGACAATAGAATAGCAATAATTGGTGCACGCTGCCTAGGAGTCACTCGGTGAGAGCGAAAGCGTCATACTTGCCTCGGCTTGTTTATCCCAGTCAGTCGGACAGGTTTAGCTCGGCAGTGAAAGCAGTACCGATGGTCTTCTTTCATCTTCGAACTGTACCGCGGAAACTAAAGCCAAGGAAGAGTCATAATACCTCCGAATAATGTATAAGTTGTTGACAATGCTCTTTACCACCACCATTGAAGACCTCCTTTGATATCTTGATCATCACAAGCGGGTTGATCATCTGCGATCAACGTCACTTCGCACCGCACACTGCATGACAAGTGCGGGGCAGAGGGGCCAACTGGCCCAAAAATTTAGTGATTTTGAAGCAAAGCTGTTACATCCTTTTACCCCTCAATCCATGATAAGGGAGAAAGAGAGGCTGAGGGTCACTGCCACGCTAGACTGGATTTGTCCGTATATGCAGGTTTATGCACGCACAGGGGGGCTTCGTTCCGTTCTTCAAGTTCTTGGCTATGCACTACGGATTAGTAGGGTGTATTAATCCACGTAGATAAATCGGTGTGCCCGGTGTAGGATGTGAAGAAGATAATGAGGTCTAAGTTTTCGGAAATGATAATTGTAGAAAGAATGTTGAACAGATGAATAACAGTACTACATACTAATGCTGGAGTAAGAGGGCGATGTTTGAGATATTTTAGGTACCTGTCATGTAATTTTGCAACGGTGAGACATTTATTTAGGGTAAAAATCAAGAGAAACCTCAGGAAAAGGCAAAAGCCACACCAAAGATTACGTGAGGGGAAGAGTTAATCTAGTACCGCGGTATTTGTTGGGAATCTAACCTCAAGTATCATTGACTAACTCTAGTGATGGGAAAATGTGTCCAGGAAGGCAAGGGGTGTATGCTCATGGATCCTTGGGGTAGATTTCTTTTATTGTGATATTCATTGTTTCTCCATTGGACACTCCGTAGGTATTGTGATCCATTTTCTTTTTTAAGAAATTCCAGACCGGATGCAAATTACTTCAGCTTTGCCTGTCAGAGGTGGATGTACTTCCGGAATATACATCAGGTTACTCGTACCGGATGCAGTAAGAGTCCGGTAACGCTTTAGCCACATTAGGCAGCCACATTTATCTGCCATACTGTGTAGTTCTCCGTAGAACATCAAACTCATTCAATTCAACCAAGTGGAGACGACGAAAGGGAGTGGATCACAGTTGAGAACCAGTAAGTGACGTCGTTGGGGATGGCCAGTGCCAAGTCTGCTAACCGAAGGTTCCGTAGGAAACCATTTGATTGATTACACTTGGGATTTATTTAGAAGCTTTGTGGTTTGGTTGGAGACTTACAGACCCCCAGAATTATGCAGTGATGATGACTTGCTTTTGGTGGTTACTAGTATTTACCTAGTAGTAGACATGCACACCATATAAATGTTAGACAATATCCCTAGATCATGGAGTAATTAACCTTACAGCAACTCAAAAAAACGAAGAAAGAAAAAAAGAAAAGAAATTAATCTAGGTCGCAGACCAGTAATTTAAATCCCTCCCCCTCAAAAAAAACCCCAACGCGAAAACCCCTGGTTTATCGGCATTATCACAGACCTCATAGTGAGCTGTGGACGACTGACTGCCCTTTAGCTCAAGCACTTCTCTCGCCAATCCGCCCACTCCCTCGCTCTTCTCTCCCCATCACACTGTCTTGGAACAAGCAATTGTTCTTTGTGCCTTTGAATTCCTGGTTCTCATACCGTGGTACTCCCGTCTTGGTCTTATTGATTGTTTTTTTTTTTGGTTTGTCCCGAGTAGATCTTCGATCGACCCAGAAACTTGACACTACCCGCGACGTCTCCGGACTTGGGAACGACTTCTGCCTACTACTTTCCCTACTAATCAACCCTCTACAACTCATCCATTTTTAAATATTCTCAATTATAATACTTGATTGATTGACTTCGTATATCCTGACCTTGTTTCCGTTTAACCCGTCAGCTTCTGCTGTTGACGCGACGTGTCCCGTCTCCATCTCCGTCTCACTACATCCCCCACTCGACGGCCATCATGGTGCGGTTACCGTTGCCACAACGGCTCAGTACTCATTTAACTTCACGGAGTAACACTCCTACTCCTGGACAAAGCAGAAGTACCAGTCCCATGAGGATACCAGACGCCAAGCCGCTGGTCCTGAAGGTGGTTGTCTTACGGGTGAGTGCGACCTCCCCCTGGATACCGGGCAGGGTTATACCACCTCGGTGTATTTCGGATTGCGAGGGCTAACATACTGAGCGCTCAATAATTAGGGGAGGTGTCTTGCAGCAAAAGATCGAAATGGGACGAGCGATCCAGTAAGTGGTTCCCTGGCATCTCAATTGTTCAAACCCGCTCCCGGAATCGTAACTGACCATGGCTCGATTACTAGTATCTAGTTGTCACACTCGGAGATGCGCGACAGTCGACTCCAACAATCCCGAAGACCCTGAACCCGGAATGGAACGTGACCTTTGAAATGCCGATCGTCGGCGTACCATTGCTCGAGTGTATCTGTTGGGATCACGATCGGTTCGGGAAGGATTATATGGGCGAGTTTGACATTCCTCTAGAAGAAATATTCGCCGAGGGCCAGATACATCAGCAGGTGAGTATTGATTAGACCGACCGCAGACCTCGGACGTTCAGGCTGATGAAGCGCATAAGCCCAAATGGTATACTCTTACGTCGAAACGGAAATCGGGGAAGAAGAAGGACAGCGACATCTCCGGGGAGATTCTACTTCAATTTTCACTTGTCGATACTGCAAATCCAACAGCCCCTCCGAGCGAGACCTACCAGAAGTTCAGGACACTGATCGGCTGTGGGGAGGATGACGATGATTATCCCCAGATCCCAGCGACCATATCAGATGAAGCCGAAAGAGACGAAGAGATATCCGATGAGACAGATGACTTGGGAAGGCCCGAGGTTAACGAGAAGCGCCGGAGAAGGCTACGTCTCGCGCGACTCAGGCGGAAGTCGCTGGCAGCGAGGGCCTATCAGTTCTCTGGAGCGGGCAATGGGGTGCAAGGTATCGTGTTCATGGAGATTGTCAGGGTGACCGATCTCCCACCGGAACGCAATGGTATTGTACTTTCAATCTTTAGAAAATGTGTCGCAGCTAACCTATCCTACAGTGACACGAACTTCCTTTGATATGGACCCGTTTGTTGTGACTTCATTGGGAAGAAAGACACTACGGACTCCGGTTGTGCGCCACAATCTCAACCCAGTATACCACGAGAAAATGGTCTTCCAAGTTATGAAGCATGAACAGTCCTATACCATCAGCTTTACAGTCATGGACAGAGACAAGTTCTCTGGGAACGACTTCGTTGCCTCAGCGAGTTTTCCACTTCAAACATTGGTCCAGGCTGCTCCCGAGTCAGACCCGGAGACTGGGCTCTATAATTTCTTGGATTCCGCGCTTGATCCTACAGGGTCTACCGAATCTCTCTCCAACAATAAGGCTGGGATCAAGATCGGGATTAGCCCGTCCCCATCGACTAGTAGCCTATCGAAATTGTCAAGACCAGGGTTGGTCCGGTCGAGAAGCTCTACAGCTTCCTTGTCGAACCAAGCCGCGCAGGAGCAGTCGACGCCACCCCCACCATCAGCCCCTAAGTCTATCCCGACATCAGTTCCTTCATCGCTGCCGGAGGAGGGTAGTAGTAGCTATTTGTCAACGACGCCAACATCAGTTCAGAACGAGGGCAGCGTGATTGCCCCTCTTGAAGCAGATGGCCTGAAGACATATCGGATCCCGCTGCTGATGAAGCACAAAGAACGATGGGAGGACAAGCATTCTCCGGAGCTATTCATCAAGGCCAAATACATGCCCTACCGTGCACTCCGGCAGCAATTTTGGAGATTAATGCTCAAGCAATATGACGCTGATGACAGCGGCCGCATTGACAAAGTCGAGCTAACGACAATGCTCGATACCCTTGGTTCCACATTGAAGGAATCAACCATTGACAGCTTCTTCGAGCGATTCAGTGCGGAGAATGAGGCCAGCGAGACAATGGATTTGACTTTCGATCAAGCTGTAATCTGCTTGGAAGATACCCTGCAGGCACTGCAGAAAGATTCTAGGACAACCGGCAGGGGACTCACTCCCACACCATCCACAGGCAGTCAAGACAGCGAGGAGCCATCCAGTGACGACAATGATCTCATCCTCGAATCAAGCACAGACATGCCGGTCAATGCTGACCCTCAGAGAACAGCCATACCTACACTATCCAGTGAAGAACAGTCAATCACGAATGAGGAAGACCTTCAGCCCGATGACTTGGGTGATGAACGCGGCGAAGAGCATGTCATTGAACTTCGCGAATGTCCCCTTTGTCATCAACCACGGCTCTCAAAACGCTCAGATGCCGATATTATCACACACATCGCTACCTGTGCTAGTCGAGACTGGAGACAAGTCGACAACCTCGTTATGGGCGGCTTCGTGACCTCAAGTCAAGCGCAGCGCAAATGGTACTCCAAAGTGATAACGAAGATCTCGTATGGAGGCTACAAGCTGGGTGCCAACTCCGCGAATATTCTTGTTCAAGATCGAATTACGGGACAAATCAATGAGGAGCGGATGAGCGTCTATGTTCGTCTTGGTATTCGGTTGCTGTATAAGGGGTTGAAGAGTCGAGAGATGGAAAAAAAGAGAAGTATGCTCACTCCAATTAACTATGGTGGAGTTCTGGATGAAGCTGACAAATTCGTACAGTTCGCAAAATTCTCAAGTCGTTAAGTATCAAACAAGGCAAGAAATACGATGACCCCGCTTCCGCAAGTCAGATTCAAGACTTCATCAGCTTCCACCAACTCGACCTGTCCGAGGTTCTCCTTCCCCTAGAGAAGTTTAAGACTTTCAACGAGTTCTTTTATCGCGAACTGAAGCCAGGCGCTCGACCTTGCTCGGCTCCGGACGAGCCACGGATTGTTGTGTCCCCAGCTGATTGTCGATCAGTTGTTTTCGACCGTCTTGACGAAGCAACGAATGTCTGGGTCAAGGGAAGGGAGTTCAGCATTGAGAGACTCCTCGGTGATGCTTACCCAGAGGACGTCCACCGCTACAAGAACGGAGGCTTAGGAGTGTTCCGTCTTGCACCCCAGGATTATCATCGTTTCCATATTCCTGTGGATGGCGTCATGGGGACGCCGAAAACCATCGAAGGTGAATACTACACGGTGAACCCGATGGCCATCCGCTCCGCACTAGATGTCTATGGAGAGAATGTTAGAGTCCTTGTCCCCATCGATTCGGTTGCGCATGGCCGTGTTATGGTGGTCTGTGTTGGAGCAATGATGGTCGGAAGTACAGTAATCACACGCCAGGCTGGAGAGAAAGTCACTCGAGGCGAAGAACTGGGATACTTCAAGTTCGGTGGAAGTACCCTTCTACTTCTCTTCGAGGAAGGAGTGGTCAACTTTGACAGCGACCTAGTGGACAATTCAAAGGGCCCTCTCGAGACCCTGGTAAGAGTTCCTCTATTTACCCCTTACTGGTTGTGGACTATTTTTTTTATTAACATAAGTCGCCTCTATCTTAGATTCGTGTGGGCATGTCTGTGGGCCACCATCCTGACATTCCTCAATTCGAACCTGACCTGCCGAAGAAGGCAGAAAACGTCACCGTAGAAGAGATGCAGGCTGCCAAGCGCCGAATCGAAGGAAGCTTGGCACCACCAACCGATACGTCCGAGTTTGCATGAGTCTTGTCCGTTAAGTGAGAAGCGTCCATTCTAAGGCGTTCTGGTGTCATTTCAGGGGTCTGGTGTGATTCGTTCTAAGCAACTATCTAGCACAGTTGTCTGCATTACCATTAACTAGTTTTGATGGATTATGAGGGTCGGGCTATCGATGGGTGTGTACATGTTAGATATCTCTGAACATATAAATTTCCATGTCATATTATCTTCTTTTTCGGGTCTATCTACCGTCTATTTTGATCTTTTGCACGAAATTATTTTAACGTCAAAGACTGTAGATCAAGAGTTAGTCTGGGGATATACTAGTAATAGACTTGATGTCAATCTCAAAGCGGTTTAGCGCGAGTCCCCCACGCGCCACGACCAAAACAACCGCGTGCTTGCGGCGGACTTTGGAAGAGCCAAACCCCCCGTCAAGAGCTTAAGCACGGCCGCGCAAGGAGCGCTTTGCGAAACTCGCCAACCCAAGAATCCGATTAATCTGTTATTGAATGCCTCGAGTGGTCGCTGTCAATTGCAATTTTAAGTTAACGGTGTGCTGGAAAGGCACCTCCGACGTCGACTGACACACGACCCTCAACGCCCCCGTTTTTATTAAAAGGTGCCGCCGGCTCGGTTTCCTACGACTGCGCAACCATTCTACCTCAGATCGCTTATGAGGCATATAGAAAGAGAGACAGTCGGCACGACTTTGACAATCGCTTGAGTTCAATTCTGCGCTACGAGTGAAGGGGGTCAGAGCGAAGCGATATCAGACACCGGCGACCGATTAATTTACGAGAGGGTGAACTTGCCTCCATTTTTTAACACAACAATCATTTCTCTCCCTTTGAAGCAAGCAAGGTCGCGCTATATACACCAAACGCTCATTGTCTTCATTCTGTATCTACGCCACCATTCGTTCCCCCGCCTTTCCTTGGTCCTGACATGACCGTCACGGTTTTGGAAACCCCTAAGATTAAAACGAAGCGTCGCGCACCTCTGAAGTCTATTGATATGGCAACGTCCCAGGCGCAGGCGCGTCCTGCGTCTTCTGCCGCGCCTGGCAGAAAGGGGACAAGGTCAAGTACGCGATTGAGTTTGAGCAGCGTGGAGAAGAGTGAAGAGAAAACAGCATCTACCAAGAGAAAACGTGAGTGCTCTCATTCGCCTTGAAGGGTTAAGCTATAGATTATTTATGGGAGTATGCGGTTGTGTGCGCTGCAGTTTTCATGTGCTAACGTCGTTTTGTCGCTGTAGAAGACGCTTTCGATGAAGAAGATGAGGGGTTCCAATTTACTCGCATTAAGACTAAAAAATCAAAACCGACAGTAGAGTCTATCCCGGAGATTCCTCAACCAGAGGTGCCCGCCCCAAAACCGTCACCGAGGAGGGGCCGGCCACCCAAGAAACGTCCGGCTGAGAAATCGGAGAATGGGGTAGCGTCGAAGAAGTCATCAGAGAGTTCAAACAGGCAAACGAGATCGACTGCAAAACCTTCCTTACCTGAGCCAGAAACGCAACCGGCGAGCGCCACGCGCACAACACGCACAACACGCAGGCAGGACAATGGTGAAACGGCACCAGTGGAAAAGAAGCGGAAGAAAGGCAGACCGAGTAAATCCCATGATGATCAACAGAATGGTTTTGTTTCACCCGAACCGCAACAGGCTGGAACATCAAAGATTACCTTGCCTATGGCAGACACACCGGTCATACAGCGGAACAAGGAATTGAGGGGTGCGGCGAAGTCAGGGAAAGGGAACAGACGAAGTAGCCTGGGGATGCGAGGACGAAGGGCCAGCTCGCTAATTGACTCCGGGGCGTCTAATGGTGGGTAGCCTATTCTGAGAGGGCTCGGGGTGGTACTGACAGCTTTAACAGCATTGCCTCATGATCAAGTTGACACGGCAGAATTCTATAAACACATTGCAAGTGACTTACCGGAACCGCGAAGGATGAGGCAGCTCTTAATTTGGTGCGCGACTCGAGCAATGAGCGATAAACGAGGGCGCTCGGAGGATGCGAGCGCTCGTCTAGCGGGTGTGTTACGCCGGATTGGAAGTTTGGTTTCAAGCTAACGATACCTTAGCGCGTGTGATCCAGGAGGAATTGCTCAAAGATTTTTCTACTAATTCCCAGCTTTCGAACTGGTTCGAGCGAGAAGATGTGAATCCGCCAGCTGTCGTGGTTAAGAAGCCAAATCCGAAGAATATCCAAAACGCAGATAAGATTAAGGAATTAGAGGAGCAAATACAAAGGTACACAATCCTGAAGCATGGCTTCTCGGGACGTGCTGACATTGCGAAGGCTACAACGAGAGAGGCACGCTCTCAACGCACTTCTTCGACCACCTTCCATTCCACAGATCAAACTATCGAAACAGCAGGCTACCGCACCGGAGGGCCAACAAGAACCTCCGCAATCCGACTCCGAACCTAAACCTCGGTCGGATCCTGAACCGATTGACTTATCTTTATTAGACCCTTCACAGCAGAGGATCTACGAATCGATCGACCCAGGGAAATCAGATACTGAGACTCAGGCGGCGTCTTCATCAGAACTCAGCTTACCACCCATAACACCAACGGCTATATCCGCAAGGCTTTCCCGAATAACCCGTGGTCTAGCGCCGACCCTCGACTCATTGGCGGCCGGCATTCACGATATCGAACTTTACCGAACCATGTCAGACACCGTATCGTCGCAAGTATTGCGCATCTGCGCCGAGCGATTGGAGGAACGTGATGCAAGAAATGCAATGCGTCGACTTGCAGTAGAGGAGGGCGAGGGCGAGAGCAAGGACCTCGCCCTGCGGCCACGGCCGAAGGAAGACCTTGGTCTGATTCTTGGGGCATTAAGTCGGATAGAGAGGTGATGGGGACATGAAAATGTTCAATAGGGTTGAATGAACGTCTCCTTTCTTTGTTATCTATTTCATTTGCATCCGGCCGGGTTACAGTGGCCGGAGTTGTTGGGTTCATTCATTGGCGGCATACAAGCACTGGAGTTGGGGTGTTCTGGGCGATGCTTGACGTGGATATGGTAGCTATGGCTATGATCGGACAGCAATTCACTTTGGCACTTTACAAGGGACTAGAATTCATTTTCCTTCGAGGATCTCTTATCTAATCAGGATGCCACTGTAAAATGCTCATGACAGACATCAAAATCATTCTACATTGATTGCTACGGCAGGCCTTTCAGTAGACATGCTTCATGTGGTTGTAGATGGGATGTCTAGTAAGATAGTATCAATGTCAGGAAAGCAACAACCTCATCCAGGTACCGACATTCTCATCTACTGACCTACATAGTATGGCATCAACACCCACCTCTCGAGATCCAACGTCCAACAATGCCCTCTTGAGTCACGGAATGGCCTCGCCCATAGTCGGACGTAAGCTATATCTCCCGCATGCGAATCACACACGGGCATCAAGCACAACCTTGAGGGACCATATGGATGTATTTACGCGTCAAGTCGCATATTAAGGGCTTTTCTGGCATCACTGCTACTATATCCGGCAAATCGGCAACAGATATTTTGGTACAGGCTCATCGGTTAAGGAGGCTGGGAAACTTAGCCGGTCTCGTATACGATGCCATATGGGTGATCGAATGGATAAATCTCTAGTCCTCTACGCCCTGGTTTCTGTTACCGGTGACGTCGAATGCGTGGATTTGAAAGAAACCAAAACTGTCTAGGCACTACATTGAGGAACGAAACTCAAATCAATGGTAGCAGCTACATTTCTGGTGCTTTCGCTGTCTTTGTGTCATATTATTACACTCTGGATGTATCTTTGAGTTTACGGGGTTTCTCTCTCAGTCTTCGACGCTGTTCTTTTTGCCTGGTTGGCATCTTCCCTTTTAGCACTGTGCATGATGGGGTCACAGATGATCTCGGAGGGTTGAGAAGAGGGGGTGTTCATCGTAGTTGGCAGGTTCCGGATTTTGATACATGCTTGAGTTGTAATTTGTGTACTGGCTCCCTTGTCCCAAGGTGACTACTACTGATAGTACAAAATTGGAAATGTTAAAAGAAATATCAGGCACAATGCATGTAATGTATAATGATATATTTTCTTGACCATATGCTCGGAAGCGTTACAGAACTCCACTAAACTATATTCTCTATTGGCCTACCCGAGGCCACTGGGGAATATACTCTTCTCATTTTCACATATTCATGATTACAGTTGTAAAACACATTTCCCTAGCAAAACCCCATCAATCTCACAATATTATTGAATGATTTCTCGATGTAACTATCAAAAAACATGCTGTATATTACAAAATAACCTATGGTGTAACAACCAAGGCGAGATGGCCGAGCGGTCCAAGGCGGTTAGTACCACTATTATTCTCATCTTCACGAACGTTCACTAATAAACTCTCAGCTGGAGTAAGGTTCCAGTCTCGAAAGGGGCGTGGGTTCAAATCCCACTCTCGTCAACATCTTTTTTTGCTTCTTTGAAAGCTTTTTGCTTAAACCACGGAAGTGGTGGGGTACACCCGGTGGTTGTGGGGAAACAGCAAATGATCAATAAATCTCGCATCTTCGGGTATTAATTAATATATCAAAATCGGGCACCGGATAACAATCACATTATACCCTGCCCCTTTGAGTAACAATCAATGCATAGTTTGATTTTACCATGCCTCAATCCCTGCACAGCCCGCTCCATTGCTTAACCCGGAAGTTCCCTCGCTCCGTCCCCATATAATTCCTGGGGTTGCGTGTTACGGGTCATGTCTTTCCCATCACCGATTTGTACAGGATACTCGGCGACTGGAGGGGCATTCGACTCTGCTTTCTTCCTTCGCAGGAGCAAGAACCATCCCAGCAATGCTATGATCATAACACCGGCCGCTGACCCAACCCCGATCCCGGCGGCTGCACCTGCACTTATGCTACTCGAAGAGTTGGGCTCAGAGGTACTGGAGGGTGACGGCGTTGGATCCGAGTCCGCTGGGTCGGTTGCGGTCTATCGCGTTGTATCCACATGTTAGCTAGTAAGACCTCCACGCAGGGATTGGGAATCACACTGCATACCGGACTGGTATGGCTGATACCCATGGCAAACAGATGAAGATTAGTTCCTTGATTAACATCCGTAAAGTCGATTGTATTCGCAGCGAAGTCGGTCACGGTAATCCTTCGTTTCGTAGCAGTATCATACTGTGATATACAAGGAAACCAGGGACCGTGGGGATTTTTGCTCGCATTCTCAACGCAACTAAACGAATAGATTCTAAAAAGAGGAGCGAGCCATCAGTGGATGTTCTTCGCGTTAACGGGATTCGAATCCAATGGCATAGATCAACCGTACGTGGGGCAGCAAACTGTCGTTGTTTGCGTAGCCGACCCGGTCGACAGACAGGCAGAGGTGTAACCCGTCGGACATTGCGTTCCTGCATAGGCCTGGGAGGGATCCCAGGCCGATGGGAGGCAGTTGGTGGTCTGAGATGGGCCTCCTAGGACCGTGCGCTGATCATTCTCGGTACGGAAGTTCCAGCTCCAGAAGTCACCTTTCCTGTTACAGCCGTATACTGATGGTGTCCATCCGGGGTCGAGGGTGGGGCGGGGGGTTATTGTTGACATTGTAAATCGGCTCTGACGGGCGAGGGCATGTTTGTCAAGGGAGAGAATGGGTCGATTGCAGAAGAGGCCAGCCTTATGTGGTGGTTGGTTGAGCCCCCAGTTCCTATCCCTAGCTCGTATCTACTTTCTTGGCTGCATGCCAATGCATCAGACGATATTGATATCCCACCAGTTGTCTTCCCTGTGATGTGCATCTCAAGAACAGCGGGGATTCACCGGGTAAACTGGAAATTCAAAGTTCTTTGTTTGGGTTTCTAGAGTTATATAGTCAGCGTGGGCGAGTCATTACGGCCAGACTCAAATAAAGCCGATACATCTAAGACATTCGTGTGTGCTGTTGTTGTTGCGGAGGTGCCGAGCCGCGAGTCATGCCAATGCTGGCCCCCAAGGTTCAGCGAGTCCGACCCTAAGAGCCAATCCTCATTTATGCCGAAGCCACGGATCCATTTTTGCCGGACTTCGCTTATCTACATTGTTCTACCAACTAGAGGCTGTTCGCCTTCCTATATAAGGAGCAATTTATAAATGAGATTTTGGTAAAGCCTTTACATTCTGATCAAAACAGTCACCCTCTTGAGCATATCAGAACACTGGAACCGCCCATTTTCAACAAGCTATCGCCATGTGCATACTTGTTTCACCCCCCCCCCGGCGAGCCTGGTCTCAATTCTCTGAGCGCAAGCTCTCTAACCACCTCCGCCATCGCACTCGCTTGTTTAACCCCAATCTCGTCGCCGATGACATCCAGCTGGCTCGCAATCCACATCCGCTGAGCGGGATCTACCCCCTCCACGATACCTGCTATGTATAATGGCCATGTAACTTGAGTTGCAGATGTTAACCTGGCGTACTTCCCCTGAGGATACGCCTCGATTGGGTACTGTCTTTCAGCTGACTCCATGCACCTATATCCCAAATGGTACAGCATAGATGCGCATATATCATTGGCAAGATTGCGGATCTTCACACGTGTCGTAGATATATCGCTAGATAGACTTCCCAGAGAAATTGATGCTATATTGTCACGATTGGTGGCGATCAGGAGATGATAGATGCGGAGACGAAGGTGACATGTACATATTTGCAAAGCGCGATAGCGCGTCCAGTCATTGGCGGCCCAGAATGATGAGTAAACGTGTGCTACTGGTGTCCATAGATTCCAGTCCTCGGAAGGGACTACCATGGTGCTATGAATCCAATCTGCGGGAAGGGAGCTCGGCCATTGCGAAAGTTGGTGGGTGGTCGCATTTATCGAATCAATAATACCGGTGCTAGTAGTTGACGAGGTATGTCCTGAGCTCAGGTTGCTAGCAACCCCTGAGATTTGCAAGTGGAGAATTGCTAGCTTGCAGAGGTAAACCTGCAGTTGGGACCTTGGAGAGGCGAAAGGGGTCTGAAGCAGTGCGTCATGTAAGGTGAGAAGCTCTGGCATCGTAAACGGGAATTCCTGGACGGTATGGGTTATGTCGATGATGAGACAGGCGGGCATCTTTGAATGTATTAGACCTAACGGGTTACAGGGTAGGCGGGCTGGGCCTTACGAATCGGGAGAGGAGTGCTATATATAAGCCTTTGCTCGTCTCGTCTTGGAATGAAACTAAGTCTTGTGACTTCACAAAGGCGATGGCGCCTCCGAGATGAGGGTTGAATATGGATTGGTTGGGGCAGGGGTTAGTCAAATCCTTAGCATGGTTAGCAATCCTCCACGAGAGAAAAATGCGCTTCTTCAACAGTCAAAATGGTAAGCTTTCTTTCAATGCAATAGGCACTATACCTCGTACATACTAAGCACCAACATGGTGAGAATGACCTCGTTTCGCCTACTTGTAGTGTTACGATCGATTATCTGGCGAGTAAGCTGGAGAGCCCTGTGGTAACTGTTTATGGCTTGCTCTTTTGCATGTTGGCTGTTGTCTTTCCGCACGACGAATGTAAGAATAAGAGCTGATAGAGCCGGTAGAAGTGGCGAGGAAGACACAAGTGATGGACTGAGTTGGGGTATATAAGTTAAGCAACCGCCGTAGATGCTGGCGGCCTGTGGGAGACGGACAAGATCCGCATAAAGACGATGTAGATTGACTCGATCAAGTGCTGTATTGGGATAGCGTAACAAGGTAGTAAATTGTGTGTTCATCCAAATGCTGCCCCAGAATTCATCGCCTGGAGCAGTAGTTTGGCTATTGCGTTTAGCCACGAGCATTTCTACGTTAGATCCTGGCGCTCCGCCCTGTTTCTCAGGCATGTTGTCGTTGGCACCGGAGTCACGATAACCCTCACAATGACGTTTGGCTTTCATGCATCGCAGACAGATTGGTTTAGTCTCATCGCACTGGACTGTGATTAGCCAGTTTGAAGGTCATGTCAAAATAAACAAACTCCCATACTTTGACTTTACGAGAGCGACAGGTATAACACCCACGACTTGGGTGTCCTGGGTAGACCATAGTGCTTCTCTCGCAAGACGCTTATTTCTGTAAGTACCTACGCAGTAGAACCTGCAGTAAAACAAGAAAACAGCTTTTTTTTTTTTTTTTTGAAAATGGCTATTTTCCCGATGTTTACTCCCCCATATTTCGACATTCACCAACTTGGCCGCGCCGTTGAATGGAGCTCGAAGGACACCAATTTGACATGCCGATCATCCTGTCGGTATATCGGATAGGGCATCGGTACGCACTGCCCCCCTTGGCAGTTGATCCCCGCCTTGAAATTAGATATCACTTGGTGCAATTGGGCGCTTTTTATTTGATGCTGACTTGGCAACCGGATATTTTGGCTATAATCGAAGAGCATCGATCGTTCAGAAGAGATAATCACATCACCACTGGAGTGAAGAACTGGCCAAGGATGGGTGTACTCGTCAGCCACTAGAACCATTAGTAATGCATCAAGCGGGGTCACAGGCTTCTCAATTACCCTAGACGATATTGCATGGCATTTGGCTTGAGTAAGTTTACTTGATATGGATCGACCTGTGTATGGCTGGAACCAGTTATTGCCTACCTTCACCTTGATTATTAGTGCCGTGTATGCCTTCAACATTAGCCTTACCCCAGTGGTCCACGTTGACATGCTCATGGCGCGACGTCTCTGCTTTCGCGATCCTATTTCTAGTCAAAGGGATCGGCGCCTCGTTTAAAGTTGGGCCTTGGGGTTATACCAAGACTGTTGGAGAAAGTCGGTGCTAAGTCTGTATGTGTTGCGACTACCTGTATTTCCTTTCCCTTCGGAACATTAAGACCGCTCGTCCACGGCCTGAACTGAGTGAAGACGATTGCGGAAAACTCATCATTGTAATTAATGACGGTTTAATTTTGTTCAGGCTGTCTAACAGTCCAGCTGACCCTGTTGGGAACGTTGGGGTTGGAGTTTGGATCCTTTGAACGACATCTTGAAATAGCGCCATATGAGAAATGGAATGTCTAGAAGCAGGATTTACCTCGGTAGAGGTGATGACAGGCAGATTCCACGAACCCAAACTCGGGAAGACCAGTCGCCACATTGGTATGTGGCGCGATGGGGCAATGGTAAGGAAGAAGGCTGGGTTTGAATTTGCCCCTTCAGTGTATCCATAAGTATTCACAACCAGTATTCACAACTAGTACATTCATGCTGTATTTCCCCTCACCAATGGGACGGGATCTGTCGCGTTGCGATGCACTATTCAGGTAGTCGTAAGTATACGGGCCTAGAAGAAGGCCCGATAATGTCTAACCGGCGCGGTACGGTTGATTGTAGTTCAGAATATTGTGATTATGAGCTACTTTCTCTTTTCATAGGCTTTCTCTGGATGGGCAACAGAGAGCGCTGATAGGCGTTAGCCTATATATTGCCTCGCAAAGGACCCTAGTGCTAAAAAGGAACCTACATGGCACAGAAATGCTTTTGATAGTGCGTCCCTTGGTGCATGAGGTGTTCCTGGTCATAGGGCATATTGCTTTGAGAGACCATCTGTGCATCTTGGTGATCGGTGAGATCAAACATCATGTTTGATCACTTCGAAACCACAGAGATTGTGGGTAAAAGGAGTAGTACAGTTTGTAGCAGATTTCTTGCCCTCACCGCGGAGTTCCTCTATTTCTGATACTGTTGATATGAAGGCTTGAGGGCTTTCGCACTATACACAAAGTTGTGAACTGGGAAGGCTCGGCATTAAATAAATCGAAACCACGGGTCTACATGCATGAGACTTAGTCATTGATCAACCAAGTTGCTACTAAGATAGGTATCTCTTTCGCTTCTAGGACGACCGATGCAATAACTGGCCGGACTGCTGACACCCGCAAGACTTGTAGTTCCAAGAGCCTGGCTGTGCTAAATTACGAGCAGATACGGATAGTCGACCTGATACTTCGATTGAAAAGATGATAGGTCACGGCTACGTACCAGGTCTGGTCCGGATGCGGGGATGAGCAACATGATTGGAAGTCTCATGATGAAGATATCGACGAAAGTGATTCTTAGAGCCAACGCTCGCAGGTAGACTTTTGGACCATGTAAAATGTTCGAATAATGCCCATTGAAGTTAGGTTCAGCTTCTCGCAAGCTTAGTTTGTACTAAGATGAATCTGGAAAATAGCTTAACCTAGTATTCAATATCAATGATGGCCTTAAAAACTTTGATACCCCGGATTTTCCAATGCCAGTTAATACGAGACGCTCGCAAGATCCTTGTCACTGTTCAAGGGGATGATTGGGGGAAATAAAGCTCACCGTGGGTCTTGGGTTGAGGAGTTGAAGCCAAGCTGCAGATCTGCACTGCCCACACCGGCTATTGGCCAGTGTAGTCATTCAGCTAGATGGATCTTTAAATATTCGAGGCAAAGTAGAACAATGTATAGTCTATGGTATATATAGCACACGGCGACCGTCGAAAGTCCACGGAATCAGACACTCCCACATACAAAACTAGACACAATGATGGGGAGGCTTTCAGCAATCCATATACTTCTGGTGTCCACCATCACTATGGTGGCATGCCTTGAACATACCAATCAGAGTCCAGACGAGGCAACTGTATTCTCCTTGCTTGTATGTTTTGCTGTATTTTTTTTTTTTTTCTTTTTAGGTACAGATCGAAGGCGACGACTAACATACTACCTAGTATGGCTATCCCCTGGTTTCTTATGCCACATTCGCCCTCCGAACGTTGGGAAAGCTGAATTCAACCAATAGCTTTTTTCATTTGCGAGAGCTGACGACACCTGAAACTACAGCTGTGGTGCGACCCAATGTCGACACGCTGTACTCCGCGGCTATCATTGACCTGTCACATCACGATCTCATTCTGGATGTTCCAGTTGTTGATGAGCGGTTCTGGGTATTTCCTTTCTATGACGTGTGAGTTGGAGTATTCTAATCCTGCAACAATACACTTCTGTAGCTAACTTCCCACGAGGTACGGCAACAACTATGCAAACATCGGTAACGTCTATAATAGCTCTGCCGGCAAGTACCGATTGCGTTATTCGCCGAACAGTAACGAAACAGTTGGGGTACAGCTTTGCGACGAGACGCAATCTGAGGAGTACGAGGACTGTAGAGGTCTTAGAGGGTGGGTCAATGCACCTACTCCTTATGGTGGTATTCTTGCCCGACTTGTCGTTAAGAACAACGGAACGGACATCGACAAGATACATGCTATCCAAGACCAGATGCAGATTTCTACGATACAGAGGAAGCGTGCTCAGAATATCCCGCAGTTAACGGTTCCTATGCTGAACTCATCGCTTTCTTCGGACCCTGCCACCCGAATTATGCAGATGACAGCACGCTTCGCACCGCACAACCCGCCGCGCAACATTTCCGACCTTGCTAGAGTGAACCGCAACCTCAACGCAGCCGGTATCCGGGGTGGCGTCTACAGGCCCCAAGTTCGAAACCTCACAGCGGCCGCCGTCACGGCAGCCTCTGCTGTTTCGAAAGCCTTTGCTCTTCCTGCCAATCATATTGACCTGGAAAACAATTGGCGATCAGTCTCTGGTACCGCACAGGGTGACTACAATACGAACTATGAGATGCGAGCGTTTGTGACTAATTGGGCATATCTTATCGTGGATGCAACTGTGGCCTTGTATCCAATGTATGGCCCGACGGCAAGTAGTTCGGTTTTCGAATTGGGCGCCAACGAGGCATACGTCTTCACCTTCAGCAGGAAGCCTCCGCTCGCTAAAAATGGCTTCTGGAGTCTGACATTATATAACGCGGACAAGTTTCTCATTAAAAATCCACTGGATCGGTCCTCTCTTGGTGATCGATCGAACCTCACTTACGCAGATGGCATACCTGTGTATGGGGACGATGATCGGGATGAGTCTTTCCAAATTCTCATCCAGCCAGCCGACATCGAACCACCTTCCAATTGGACATCTAAGTGAGTTGGCGGATAAGTCTTTCAAAAATTGCCTACATAGCGACTAACGCGTTATAGTTGGTTACCGGGACCATCTGGTGGGGGGCAAATTGACATAAACCGTAAGCATCCCACACTATTTCAGCTTTGCAATTTTGGTATTAATGTAGCCGATAGTTCGCTTTTATGGGCCGGACGAAGAACTGCAGAACGGTTCCTGGGAATACCCAGTAGTGACGAAGCAGCAGGCGGTCTCCAGTACTGGTGCTCAGAAATAGCACTAGGGCTACCGCTCTTGCATACTGGGATTTGTCTCTATGAATGAATGTTGATACGTGAAAGTGAAGTCACGAGATATCGAGAGTGATTCTCGATCTACCCGGAGGAATACGAGCACATCATATAGATTACCACAGCCGGCTATAAGATTGAACCGCTATCTACCTTATGAACATCATAGGACTGAGCTCGTCTTAGAGTCATACACCTAGACCTGGTGTGGATATATTCAACTTCGCATTCTATTAGAGATACTACGAAGCCATCATATATTGTGCTATAATTCCTAAAATTCTTGCAGTCGGATAAATACGACCATGCTGTGTAAAACCAAGGCTTCTCCTTCGCCCATCTGTTCTCTTGCCGCACCTGAGTCGACCCCAGTTAATATGCTGGACGTGCTGCATTTCACCGTCTCACGTTTCGATGTTCGTTTAATCCCATGTTTCCTGAGTTGACGCTCAAACTACGGAGAAATGTTCTATGGCGAAGAGCTACAGACGACAGCTAGATCTTATTTGTTGATATTGCATCAAATACCATTCTGAAATTTTTATATTTATATTGCTACGAGTCTTCAGCTGACTTTGCCTCCTCTATGCATATCCCAGATTCCAAAAATTCTCAATATTCTTCTCAGTATCTTCATCCACATAGGCTGGGGGCTCCGCAAAGGTGACATGTTCACCGTGTAATTCCGCAATCTTGCCCGTTAACGACTCATCACCTACAAGTTGTGCCACTGCATTTGTTGCAGTAGACATCGGCGTTAGAATCATCGACCTGAACAAGTCATTACTTGGCGCAATATTCGTTGCTATCATACATTAGCCAGACCAATCATTTTTTCCGCTGGCGTGTAGAGGACGCGCAGAGTAGTCCAATTCAACTTACCGATCACAGCAGGAGCTAATGCGTTGATTCGGATCTTTTCAGCTTCCAGTGGGCGAGCCAGAGATCGTACGAGGTTGACTACACCAGCTTTGGTTGTTGCATACATAGGCGCCATAGGGAATGGGTACAGGCCTGCATTTGAGGCAGTGCAGACGATCAGTCCGTTTGAAGAAGCTGTCGGGTCACTTGCCGCGTTTTTGTACATGTAGTGGATGGCAAGATGAACAGCTGTTGAGAGGGGAAAATCAACATTACTAATTTGCCCATATGGAGCTGTAGAGTTCTCAATTGAGGAAGACAACTTACTGTATATAGCTCCCACTAAATTCACGTTTAAGGTCGCGAGGTTTGGCTTGGGTGGCCCCTCGTTGCCATCATGCTTTGCGGGCAACAAGCTTCCCTTCTCGGTAATCCCCGCATTGGCGAAGACAATATCGATTCTACCTTGCTCGGCGTATACTTTCTCGAATACAGCAGTTTGGCTTTCCCAAGAGGACACATCGCATTCATCGAATGAGACACTAGCCAATGGATGTTCGGCTCGAAGTTCCTGCAGTGTCTGAGCACCGGTTTTTGGGTTGATATCGAGGATGGTGATGTGAGTCTCAGGCTGTGAGATAAAGTGCCTGGTAATGCCCAGACCAATACCTGAGGCCCCTCCTGATCGAGGAGTCAATGATGCTGGTCCGTTGATCGTTTTTCTGAGAAGGGTTTTCCGAGGTTCTTACCGGTGACGATGATGCTTCTCTTTGGTGACATATTGTGATGAGTAGAGTTTCATGAAAAAGGTTGATATTGGATTCGGTGGCTATTTTCTCTGGCATCCCTCACATTTCATATCGACGACAAATCTTTGTTACTCATTCAAAAACCCCTCCTTGACAGTTCCCCACATGGCTGCTGGGGTATTCCCGGCGTCGGCGGGTCTCGATGCTTTCGACCATCACGGGGATAAATGAGTTCCCCCCGGCTCCTGCATGCAGTACGAGCCGATATTGCGGAATTGATGGCATCATCGAGTGTGCAATGCGTAACCCAGTACTTTGGGCGGCATAAATCTCTGTAAAGCCACCGTCCTTGTGTTGAAGATATTCTAGATGTTTCAAAGGGCATTTCTGTGCCACCCTGGGGATGATCTCGCACTGTCCTTCTTTAGATAGAGGGAGTTGAAAGCAATTAACACGCTTTTCTCCGATATATCTAATTGGGTTGATAGGACTGTCGCTTAAATGGCTGAAAGCGTACGGGGGAAACTCTGTCCTCTTTGGGGCCATAATGGCCCCTCGGTAGTTGGGATTCGATGGTCAAGTGCCGGGTGTAACTAATGGCAGACGATCTTTGCTCCACAGATCCAATCCTCGCCACATTGCCGATTTCTCTCCAGGTTTGACTGAGCGCGTTGTTGAATCGCGGAGTATTCAGCAGCTCCATCTCACGATATGTGGAGGACCTGCAATATGCTCTCTGGGTAGGCACTGTCGAGTTGACAATTCATTGAGTGTAGTTTTGCCTATTCCATATCATGAGTCAACCTTGTAAATAGACTTCACTGGTATATTGGACGCGAAGGCACGGCACCCACCTTGTCGAGTCGGTGAACCCCCGTGGGGAACCCCAGATTGAAGCTCGGAAATTCCCCAGGACGGGGCTGTCAGGACTCAGGCCCCATATTACCGACAAGTTGCATTCACTCTGGCTACTAAGAGCTGTTTAATTGTAAAGTCAAAGGGACTAGTGGAGAATAGTATTGGAAGGCGTTGCATATGTGGTAATGAGGGGTGCGGAGAGGTTATAAACCGGGGGGGTTGACCTCCTAGCAATGATTATTGACACGGTGCCCCATTTGATCAGTAATTTATTCAAATTGGTGACTAGGCTTATTAGTATCTTTTACTAGTACTATTTCATCCTCTTGCATGAGCTCCATTAAATAATCTTGTTGCTACTGCTGTTTTCCCAAACTTTTGTCCTCAGTGCGGGTATCCAGCTCCCAGCGAACAATACAAGTATTCAAGGCTGTCTGAATGCTCTCAAGATGCCGCTTGGTATTCTAGATGATAATAAACTGGAACATATCCCAGGAACGGCACCGCTACATGGTCTTCATGAGGTCGACACTTACTCCGGCATCAACCCCAGTCTTCTGAAACACGATTCTACCGGGCAGATCGTGCTTGTTCCTCAACCGTCTGACTCACCAAATGACCCTTATAATTGGCCCCGGCTCAAGAAAGAGCTTTTTACAATTGCCTATGGATGGGGCTGTGGCTGCGTTGGAGGTAAGATGCGACGAGATGCGTTCCTCGCCCTGGTGATGAATAAAGCTAACCCTTCATCTTCTACAAAATAGCGGTCGGTCCGCTTCTCGGTGGTGCATTCGTCCCACTCGCTGCAGAATTTGGGGTCTCGTTATCGACGTTTGTTTCCGCCGTCCAGGGCGGCCTGATTTCGGCTATCGCCGTTGGAAGCTTGATATTCAATTCCTTGGCCGTGAAATACGGAAAGCGTCCGGTTTATCTTGGAACAACTGTTGGCTTGATGGTGTCATGTTTTTGGGCGGCCGAAGCCAAAAGCTTTGAATCATTTGTCGCCTCAAGAGTCCTTTGCGGGCTCTGCATGGCACCTATGGAGGCTTTGGTTCCGGCCTCCATTGCAGATATCTGGTAGGTCTAGCAGTTTCAATCACTTGCCTTATATGCATTAACTAACCGATTAGGTTCGTGCATGAACGTGGGTTCCGTACTGCTATTTTTAACCTCGGCGTCCTCGGTGGAATTAACCTGGCGGTCCCGATAGGTAAATTTGTTTTGAGCATTCTTGATCAATACATTTGCTGATCTTCTCAAATAGCGGCTGCAATAATTGAGTATGGATCGTTTAGAATTGCATTACATGCCATGGGTGGCGCCTTTGCTCTAACATTGATAATGGTCTTCTTCTGGATGCCGGAATCCGCGTATGCGAGAGAAGCACTGAATATCGATACTGGAGAAACAAATGTGCGTTATCATTTCACGGCCTTTTATCTTACATCCTCATGCTAATTTTTGGCAGGTTGCCACTGAGGAAAAAACAGACCTGGAGCAGCTCGAAAACGCTGCAAGCACTGGGGCTCAAACAGCCGAAGCGCGTCACTCCTGGGCCAAAGAGCTGCTACCGTATAGCGGTTATGTCAACCATGTCTCATTCTGGAATACTATCATCCGGCCATTCTATCTTTTGGCTTCGCCACCTGTTCTTTGGGCTGTGCTTCTTTTTACCAACTGTATAGCATGGCTCGTGGGCATTTCTCTCACCCTATCCCAGATCTTCTCCGCGCCACCTTACAACTTCTCCGTGATGGGTGTTGGAGCCACGAACTTGTCGTCCTTTGTCGCGTCCGTCCTTGGGACTTTTAGTGCCGGACCCCTGATTGACGGCCTGGTGACCCGGATGTCCAAGATGAACGGTGGCATATTCGGTATGATCTCCCTCTGCCATTCTCTCCATACTTGTCACTTACCAGTATCTATGCAGAGCCCGAGTTCCGCCTACCGATCATGCTTACGTACCTTTTGTTCACCTCAACGGGGTTCTTTGCCTGGGGCCAGTCTTCCTATGCACAAGACCCATGGCCTGTACCGGTGATTGTGTGTTTGGGCATGATTAATTTTGGTGTCCAACTCGGCACCACTGGGGTTGTCACCTACATCGTAGACTGTCACCGTGAGAAGGCCGGTGAGGCCTTTGCGACAATGAACTTTCTCAAGAATCTCTTCGCATTTGGGCTGTCCTTTTACCTCAATGGATGGATTGATAGCCAAGGTGTTCGTAACTGCTTCTTCACTATTGGAGGAATCACAATGGCTGCGGCACTATGCACTATCCCTATGTGAGTGTCGTTCTGCGCCAATAATAAGTTGATGACATGTACTAATATGTGCGCTAGGTATATCTTCGGAAAACGAGCCCGAAGCTGGGTACACCGACACGGAATTGCCGATCGACTTTGAAGGACCAAGCTGCTCATTGGTCGTGAAAGTGTCTTGAAGTTACATTGGGCCTTATATAAGAGTCATTCTGTGTCTGTCTATAGGGTTGTGTGATGTTTGAATGAATTTCTGTTCAGAATATCATCTTTTGTATTTTCAATTCCTTTATATCGTAATTCTTGCAGTAAGATAGCCAACTCAGCCACTCCCACCGCTTCTTCTCAAACCAAACAACAATTGTTCCTAGGAAGTGCTGCATTCATTCTCGATTAGCGTGACGTGTATATACCGAGGGAAGCTTGAGATAACAAAGACTGTAGTGGGGTTTGTTGAAAACGAGGTTCATTGTTCCAATGTGATCTCTGTGTGTCAGTCTATGGCGTAGGGCTCGCAGGCTACGGCCTCCCCACCAATGCCCTACTTCCGGATGGAAATCATGATAGTACTTTCAAACCTGTCTTCGCATGAAGGTTACCATACGTTGTCCCATAACACACTCATGAAAATCTAAGTACGTCATCCAATATAATATAACTTTTCAAATGGCAAAGCTACCTAATACTTCAAGTATGTGATATCAAAGCCAAACAAATAGAGGTCAAACCAGCTTTAGTTGACATCAACAGCATCCATCAGCATACAAAATCCGTGCTTCTGCCCCGTGGCACCATATTTGGCCAAGTCAAGATCTAGATTCTCGCCGACATCACGGAACCCACACTTCTTGTAGAGTGTATACCCAGCCCGCGAAGCCTCCAACCAGGCCGGTAGCCGGAGACGTTTTGCCTCTTCCACCCCGGCCATTAGTAACTTGGTTCCAATCCCACGACCCTGATACTCTGGATGGACCACCAAAATCTGTAGGACTAAGTTATATCTGTTAGGCATGCCCACTCACTTTCCCAAGGCAGCAACAACAATAACCAAGCCAAAGAAAGACAGAAAAAGAAAGAGAAAAGAAGAAAATACTCACTAGCAACCGCCTTCCCCCCAATCCACTTTTCCCTCTTCTGCACCACCATCTGGCGATAATCCAAACACGCCTGCGGACAAATCGACCTCGGCGGTGGCGTGGCACGCTTCTTCACTGCCTCCTGTTCCGCTTTTATGTGGGCTTCTGCATCGCGGTAGATAACCCACCACGACCACCCCACAATCCGACCCGACTCGTCATCAACGGCCTTTAGAAATCGAGCGTTGGGGTTCTCACGGATAGTCTTCTCTAAATCCTGAGCCAAGCCTACGGAGTTTTCTTCTCGAGGGCCGTACATGACTTTAAGGAGAATGTCATTGGGGAAGGCTTTGCTGTGGATTTCGTCGAAGGCGGCAGCATCGGTGGGGAGGGCGGGATGGAGTGATATACTCCTGTTTGGAGACATGATGCTTTATAGGCTTTATTTGATACGAGAGATGATGGTTTTGGATTGGGTTTATGGGTAATGCGGAGGGGGTTTAAGTTTATCTTGAGGAGACAGACTTCTTGGAATCTTATTGAAATGCTTGAATCTATCCACATGATTAAATTGTGGGAGAAGCAATCGCTTATAAATGAGACAGCGCTATGCCTGTTTAGGCAGCTTTAATATCGATAGTTTATAAACCTATTCAAGGGTTGCGGAAAGTTGATGCCTTCGACTTGCTAAATTGCGACGCTGATGAAGCTAGCGTTGGATGGCGACGTTGATAGGCTCGAGGTAAATCTCTAATATCTGGAAAGTAAGCATATACCTCCGGGTCCACTCGGCTGCATCATCCAAAACGGTGTTGCCTTGCGCAGATGTCGATAACACACCTGAAGATTTGTCTAGTGGTTAAGCTGACTAGTCTGACTCCATACCAGGGAAGTGATGATTGAAAGAAAGTTTCATCAAACTTTCCAAGATGTATAGTCCAATGCCAAAGAAAACAATATGCGTGGTTTGATTAAATATAAATTAGCTATTAAACATTATAAAATATAAACATCGTATATAAATAGGAAACATCATCACGACGCTGCCACATTCGTTCAAAGCACCCCAGCTCCTCGAAAGCGAGGCTGAGCCATCAATGTCATACCAAATTCATACCGCCATAATATGGTGAAAATGTCTGTGAAGCACCTCGTATCAATCTCACACGGTATGGTTGAGAGCTATATCCTGATCCTTTGAGTGGCTTTTCCGCGTCTTATGGGTTGCACGACATGCCCAAACGAAAAACCCAAAATGGATGATACTAGTCCATCAGTTAGCGAGAGAATCTGGAACAGGCGGGAGTTAACCTACACAGCAATAAATGCCATGGCCGTACCGAAATGCTCGACGTTAGCCACGAGCTGTCCATCACAATTACGTCCACCGTTGACTCCGCAGCTATATCCTCTGGTATAATATGGTTCCTGAACCGCCAGGTATACTATCAGGGTGGCCACCAGCGCGGCCCACGCGCAAAGGTCAAAAGTAAGATAGATGGCTGGGTGGATCGGGACGGGAAGGGATAATTCGATAGATGCTATTATCAGCGACCAAACAAAGGTGTACTCGGCCTGTAGTATAGCATCAGCAACCTGTCTACGTGAATTAGACATTTAATCAGATACTGACCGCTCCGGTGACTGGGCTGACCGCCGCACTGCCCAAGTCTTCCACGATTACCATGTCGCCTTCAAACATTGATTGGGAATACCCGAAAGCTATCAGCGCGGCGAGGGAGCTGATCACCGCGGTGAATCGCAGGCAAATTATAGTGCGCGATGTATGCATCTTGTGTGTGTGTGTGTGTGTGTGTGTGGTAAGGAAAGCTATGGTTGCTTCAACGGGCTAATTTTCTCAAGCAGGTAGGGTCATGGGTCATCGTAAGTAATGTGTTATTGCAGATTATTTACTGGTCATCTATGCTGCTTAAATAGAATCGATATTTATTTTGATGTTGGTTAGGCGTTCAGTCCCTTACGGATGGCATCAGCCAAGACTCAGATACGAGGCAAAGCCACTTGTTCACGGTGCAGATCACTACACGTGTGGGGAAATACCAAGATATGCACAGCCTTCAACCTACTCTTTATTCGCTTAGGACAGTAGCAATATACCGCATAGGGTAGATCCTGCATCTTGGTCTTTCTAACTGCGCCCCCCGTTGAAAATCTTACATGTGATTGATAAATGCATATTGCGTACCTGCATTCTCAATACGCATGGCTTGTTGCATAGATAAGCTAAGTTCAGTTTTTATAGAGCTTACCACGGTAATATTGATGCCAGGCAACTACTTAAGTCAACAAGACTGTCCAAGAATTTCTAGTATCGCACTTACTATTTGTTCTGTTGTTTTTCAGATATTCTGCGTTATTCAAGACTGTCACACTATCACGCACGATTATAGGGTATAGAGAATAGGCTCCCTATCAGCTTGGTTTTGTTGAAGCTATATACTGGCGATTTAGTATTTAAGTAATTTTTAATAGATTGTTTCTATTCTATGCCTATATTCGTCTATCATCTCTCATAATGTGTTAGATTTCGTCTCCTTTCCAGTTTTTTTTTTTTGCATATAATTTAGAGGTACAGAGGCATAGGAGGTCTTTATTCTCACAGGATTAGTATTTCTGTTTGACTGCCTTGAAGGGCAGAATTGGCAGTTAATCCACATACTACATCATATCAGATGTTGTATATTGACTTTTACCCCCCTTTTCAGACCGCCTGGTTTTCTAGCGGATTAGCTATTGGATTGCTATGACTCTTCGGTCAGCCGAAATAGTGATATACCTCTTTGGTTTTCTATCAGCGGGAAGACGATTGACCATCTCAGACGACATTCAACCCTCGCAGGCATTTGTAACCGCTAGAGCCAAGTTGATTCCCGAGGTTTTTATATAGCTCAGGCAGTAGTAGTCATGATTGACCTTGTCTTTATCATTAGAGGTGCACGATAGCTGAAGAGGAACATACGCGAACTAAACTGGCTCTTGTGATGCCTTGCGTTTAACCATCCATGAATAGATTTACCCGAGCTCATGATTGTAACAAACTTATAAAATATACCTACCGGAGTCTCAGTCATAATATCGATTTAATCTTCTAAGTAACAACATTGAGATATACATAGAGACCGCTAGTTACCAATGTCCCTGTAGAGTGTATTAAACTCTTATATTTTGTCTTAAAGACGGCATTCAGCTCCTGAGTAAACTCCATTTATTCTACTCGTAAAGCAAAAAAGATTCAATGCACCAACATTCATATTAATCTGGTTATGGAAACGGCAAAGCACGAAACAACAATCAAACCTTCACGTCTCTCGGTTGTTGCCACTCTCTTTGTCTTAACTATTTCTTATCTTCCTATCGACAACTTCACTTGGAACAGTACAACAGTAGTAACTTCAGTTAACGTCTCAGACATGTAAACACACAGATAGCCAACACAAACAATGTAAGCAGATAAAGAGAAAACCCAAACTGTCATATCAGCAACATTCAAATCCCGATATCCGTATCCCGTTGAGTCAACGACATCCCTGGGATGTTCCAAAACACCACTTGGAGGGAACGCGGCCGCGGGGGAGAACATTATCTTCAACTTCAGCCGGAGCAGTAGTGGAGGTAGGCAAAGGAATAGCATGCACAGAAGTGGCGGCAAGGATGGCGAGGAAAACGGAAATGAGCTTCATTTTTGATCGTAGGATATGGGTTTCGACAAAATATGGCGATAGCTAGATGAGGAAGAGTTTTCTCGCTTGGGTGGTTAAAGACAGAGTAGAAGAGCGCGGGTCTTGTTTAGTGGAAGGGATGTTCAACCTGAATAGTTTTGTAACTTTACCTAATTTGATTTTTTTGGAGTGGAGAGAAGTAAGTAGAGGGTTGCAGAGATATTTCCAGAGCAAGGAAGAATGCCGTCTAGAGAGAAGATATGGCGCGTTTATATATGCGAATCCCACCTCAGCTACCTAGTCTCGAATCCGGAAAGCTCATTCATGATCTCTTTGAAAATTCAATACCATTCCCTAACAATTGGCCATAATCGCTGTATGTCCCACAAAATCGCCACAACGGTAGAGCGAACAGTGAATCACCATATGAGCTAGACTCTTATTGCTCGCCATGAGAGTGGCCACTTGCCAGCTGCCGAAACTTCTTTATTTCAATGTCATGTGCATCCTAGAATGCGCCTGCCTACTTCGGCTGGTAGAAGATAGTTTTGAGGTTTGATTCTATCAAGCAAATGTGAATCGTGATGCATAATAATGCTAGAAAGTTATGGCTGCTATAATTGTATAATATTGTTTGCATTATGTGCTGACCTCGAGGCTCTAGAAACATAACGGGAAGATAGGAGTATGAAGATGCTATGGTTAATTATTTAACGGCTACTACAGATTACCATTCTAATATTTTTTCATCGAGAAGAAATCTATAATAGTACACGTTCTTATCTAATATGGTTGACAAGCTTCGATATAAGCTCCGAACCTGCATGTTCCCTACACATGAACCTAGCAACCTCTTCTAGAACGATATTTTGATCCATCAACAGCACTCGAGACTAATCCCAACTAAATACACAGAGAAACATCTGAAGGATAATAAATATATTTAATCAATGTTCGCACGCATTTTCTCCTTGTATCCATGACAACTGATCACACCATTGCTTTCGACTTTCAGCTTCCCAACTATAGCCTTTCAGTTAGAAAACAGTCTCAACCCTGGCATGGAGAATACTCACCCAAGTAGAATTTTACATCAGCTTTACCTACCTCCCCTTTCTTCTTGTCACATTTACAGGAGAGTGTGGATGACATCCCTCTTTCTGGGGACTTCCCTTTCCCTGTCTCCACTTTCGGTACAGGTTCCCCTTCCTCTACTTTACATTCTGAGCAGTGACCTTTCTCAATGCCATTTCCACTAGGCTCATTAGCTATCCATCATAACTCGAGAAATGAATATATAACATTGAACAATATACGTACTCAGCCGTCCAAGTAAATTGTCCATTTTGCTCATCCCAACCAAGACATTTATCCAAGGGAAGCCTTGAAACAGCAATACCCATGTTTTCATTGGGGTTATTACCACCTTGGGGTTTGCTGCCCTGCTGATTCTCGCCGTCTTTCTGGGGTTTGGGTTTGGTGAGTCTGCCGATATCTCGGTGTGGACACTGTGCCACAATGTGCCATCTAATGCGATCGAATTGCTGTAGCATGGTTGCCTCAACTTTTGAACACACGTAAAGCTCCCTTTTGGGGTGTCTGATTGATCCCCCAATTTTTGATCCAACACGGCGTAGGCCACCTTTGAAACCCTCGCCTGCTGTGGAGCTCTCGCCTGTGCCCTGAGTCGCAGCCAAAACTGATAGGATTAAAGTTATCATAATCCAAGCGCGATACATGTTTGCTGTAGAGGCCGAGAATACCAATAAAAAAAAGAGGATATATATATGAAGGAAAGACGGGAAGAAAGTGGAAAGGATAATTAGAGAAAAGATGCTTTAGGGAAGACCTCGCATGGGCTTCAGTTAGGGGATTTATATAGAAAAGAGGTATTCAGTACTTCAAGTCTCTAGTTGTGTTCAACCAGCGTTTGATTATGTAGTGGGCTAAAATTAGTCACCTGAGCCAATCAACACTAATGATATGCCGTAAGAGAGGTCCTTGTTTCCTTTGTCGAAACGGCTTGGGGCACTGGGCGACTGTTTCGGAAGTAGTCCTTTAAGCTTTTGTGCATCTATATAAAGTTACTATAATTGTTCAGTATTCAGGGCGTAGTTGAATAAACTTAGAAGGAAAATTTTTTTTAAAAGCGCGAACATCATTATAATCTGCATTCGTTTACCTATAGAAGATTATCTTGATAATTGTACTACCTGAGGCCAAAGGGAGTGTCTCACATCCTTCACGGTTGCCCGACTAATGTAAGCCCTTTGAACGCAGTGCCCCAACTCAATAATACAATCAGTTTATATCAAGAGTTTGAGTCAAGAATTACTGACCTTACCGAAGATTGGAGAGAAACCTTTTAGATGTTTCGATGGAGTCTCAGTATATGATTGTAGTTTAGTGATTACATTAGAGTTGTATCACTGATTGAGATATATCGGTTGGTGATATTGCATTTCTTGACAAAGTTTTTGCAAAGCTTGTTATCCTTTCATCCCTTTACCCTCGACTAGGTACCTTGAATTTGGCCCAAGGACTAGACAACAGTATATTGCCTACTCCGTTTTCATAAAGGGTCAGATTGTGCTAGAATCAACGCATTCGGAGCTGGTTTAGTGACTGGGACAACTTAGGTCCTGTGCTAGGAATCAATTTATTGGCTATATTGGAAACAAAGAACCTTCTATTCACTCTGGAGTAGTGATGAGAAAGCTGTTGCTACCTAGTATGATGTATTAGGTCAGTGAGAGTAATTTTTTTTTGTTTTTGAAGGGGAATAATGAAAAGAAAGGGCTAGATTATATGCTTTTCTCGGAGATTACATTAAAATTTTAGTATATTTCTACACCAAAGAAGTCGCTTTGTTGGTTTCAAATGGGAACTTGGCTTATTTGCTGATTCAACATGTGGGCCCAGCTTCCGGAGAACAACTTTGTCTTTGCTGGGCCGAATACTAGGGTCAAAAGTTGCCCCAGAAAGGACGTAAGGGTCTTCTAGTATATATTGATAGGAATTATATGATCTGAGAAAGCTTTGATAACAAAAGCTTCAGCGCTATGACACCCTGGACAAAGCAACATGCCGAACATCCCAATTTAGTATGCCCCCTCTCGCTTCACATATCCTGGC